GTATTGTCACAAGATGTGAAACGTATGAAAATTACCGTGTCTACTTTAAAATCTGTAATTGCTGATTTAAAAAATAAATAAACTGGTATGTGGTGATTGTGTTTATATGTTAAATCAGTACGATGATTTCAACCCACAACTTTTTACAAGAATAACCAAAAATGTAAAACTTTCTAAGTATGCTCCAGAATTAAGATCATTTGCCATTACTTTACATTTTTATTCGTTAAAGGTATATGCATATGTGCGTAATAAATTGAATTTGGCTTTGCCTCATCCTCGTGTGATACGCTCATGGTATAGTTCCATTGATGCCAATCCAGGTTTCTCAGTCGAAAGTTTCAATACCTGATTCTAATATTAATGAGATTTCAAAACAGTGCATTGCCATTGCAGGCTTTGTAATTCGATCGATATGAAAAAAATGCAATGACTGTTTAATGGCCTGTGAAACTGAACCACAAGATGCAGTGTCAAATAGGAGAAGTGGGGTAGCATTTTTTATTCAAAAGCAAAGAGGTGGTTTGACTGGGCCCTCTGTGAGTGTTGTAAACATTTGTTTTACGGTGGAATCATTATTCCAATAAGCACTTAAATATAATAACAATAAGCCACCTATCGATTCTATTTTTTCTGCAGCACTAACTGCAAAGGCAATAAGCAACCTTTTAACGAAAACCAATGAAATGTTTCCTGATCTAAAAGAGATCACTTGAGGGATAGTTGTCTTAGACAATTTTCATAGTCACCTAAATTTTCTTTTAAAAGAAATAATAACCAAATACATTGACATCCGTTTGTACGCAGAAACAAAAAAAAAATACTCTTTTATTAGTAACTGGAGAGAATGTAAGACATTTTTGACCCAACAGAAAAATTGGGCTCGACAATATTTTTTAAAATAATAAAATGTGTTTTATAAATGCTTTTTTAATTTCCCTGTCCCCTTCCCTTGCAGTAGTTAAGCTGTTAGAAGTTAATTACCGTAATTACAGATCTAATAGAAATTATCGTGTCTTGTACCACATGCCGATATGAGATATTGTAACTAGAAACAAGTTAAACCCTTTCCATAAAGAGTGCATAATAAAATTTTACTAAGGCTACATCATTATTTTACAGAGTTTTATTATTTATTGATCCAATAGTGAACTTTTATCAAATCAAGAAGAACAAGAAAATGAAAGAACGGGTTAACCGGACACGTGATACCTACTGATTACAGTCTAGAAACTGGTAGATACTAGATACTACTATTAAAGACAAGTTTGTTGGTCTCGTAGTAAGTGGCTCAGCCTGCTATGCCGCAGGTCATGGGTTCGATTCTCACTCAGCTGTCTAATACCTATAACACAAGCTCTGCTTAACTTGAGACTAGATGGTGTTGTGTGATATTTATTTAAGTCTGAACGTATTTTGTTACAAATCATATTTAAAAAAAATACCTTATGTACCTATATATCTTATGTGTGTAAAATTTACCTAAACCAATTTAATATCAAAAGTATCGTCGGTAATATTTTTGTAATTGTTGTTGATATCAGTAAAGTTTTTATCGATATCAAACCATTTGTTGTACATCACTATTATTAGTTCCATTCCCCCTCACTTCTGCCGTCAGCGCCAAAATGGCGATTTTCAAATAGGCACTAAAAGTTGATAGCAATCATAGATTTAGTATTACTTAGGTATATGCGCTGTAATGATCTATAGCTTACTTGCTTATACAAATATACATCAAATCGATGTAGAAATATGAAACTATACTTTGTCACTTTTTAACCAATGCGTAACCTCAGTTGAAGAAAGAGACGTCATGTTGTTTGTTTATTCTCTGTTTGGCAACATTTCTACCTTTCTGTCAAGGTACATAACTTGCGTGCCGGCTGCCATAGTATGGGCCAATAATTTTGTAGTACGTCAGGTGTCAAGCGAACAACAACATCATATTTAAATTGTGTAACACAACTATTTATAATATTGTGTAAAACCTATTTCAATAGTGAACTTCATCATTTACATTGTATAACACCAAACTTTTTATAATACTATGTAAAACCTATTTGAATAGTGAAATTCATCGTTTACATTGTATAACTTCAAAATTCAATACTAGATGCCGTTGTGCGTATGACGTCATATTTTACATGGCGGTGTTAAGATTCTCCGCGACTTAATGAACCCCGCCAGTACATTTGTGTTTTGGGTAAAGGCTACTATCAAGGTGCACTCGGGCTACGTCCTACTTGGAATAGTCACTTGAGACTCCTCTGCATAGCAAGTCACGGACCGGACACTATTATACTTTTATGTCATACTATTAGTTTTTTTGTATATCTAGCCTTGTTTTATATATAGAATAAAAGCCCCCAATTGTACATTCAATTTGCTTCTGATATCTATCTCTATCTGCCAAATTTATTTTATGATTTGTTTACAATACAAAGGACGATTTACAATAGTGATGTATTTTATTCAATAACGTATCGATATGAAACTAACATTGTTTTAGTTTAATAATTGTGTATTTAGTTCAGCCTATGATTTGTTCAAATGCACCAAACTGAAATAAAGTGTATGTGGTTTATTTGCACAGATTTCCTAAAAATGAAGTCTGCGTCAGAAGTGGCTTGAAGTCATTGGGACGGAAAATATCAAACCTGGACTTAAAGTGCCACGCATTTGTTCATTACACTTCGCAGAATTATCCGTCAAAAACCCTTGATGTTATAAGGCTGCGTGATGATGCAGTACCGTCAATCGACCTTGTTGTAAGTGAAGTATCTAATTAACATTACATTGCTCTTAATTTTCCCGATCAGCCTGTCGATTCATCCAGTGCTTTAATATCATTGTTTGTCAAGTTTAATATTATTAAAAACCTCTACACAATTTTGTGTTTAACTTTAATGATAAAAAATACGATTACTTAATAATCATAAAAAAATGTTTTCAGCATTAAAAAAAAAACACAAGGGCTGGTTCTGCGTGAAATCAAAAATGTCGAAGAACTGTCTTCCTTCATGGTAACTCAACCACCCTTATCAGTGAAACAATATAAAAATATCAAAATAAAAAATATTATGAGCTCAGTCGTTAACATGGATCCACGCGTTTCTAAAAGGAACGCAACGAGCAACTGCCACTAAAGAATACAGGTATGGTTTTAGCCAGTAAAAGTCTAACACGCTCCCTACTCCCTTGCTCTACCCAGAGCGTGAGAAGTCATTCGATGATTTCTACCTTAAAGAAAAAAACCGAAGTACCTGCCAGACGAAATATTGTATGAAACTCGGCTATCGATATCGACTTTTTGGTTTTGACTACAGTACTTCCCTAGCAGTGGCAGCCATATTAAGGGCCAGGTTTATAGTAGGTATACACGCGGATTTCGTAGGTATTTCTGGTCCATATTATTGTAGGTCTGTGATAGCAATAGCCAGTCCAGCGATATTATAGAGGTCAGTGACGTACATACGCTGTCTGTAGTAAGCATTGAGATAGAAAATATATAGAGGCGCCGTGTTACTATAGAAGTATACATGCTTATACAAATATGAGGAAAATATGAAACAAACTATGAAATATCATTTTTTCTCACTCTTTCTAAGGCAATAATTGTATTAGACAAAAGGGACAACAAAATTTAAGTTGTTGCTTAATATGGAAACAAATCATTTTGACATTAGCAAAGTTGTAGGTAAGTGCCATGTCCGCCATCTTAAGCGCTCAGAGTACCTGAGTTTCATGGTAGTTGTCCTGTCAAACGGTTGTTTATGTTTTAAATTATTGCGGTTTTTCAGTAAATTACAAAGAACCATTATTTTAAACTTCAAATATATATAGTGAAACAAAAAAACAATATGCCTGTGTGTTGTATTGTACAGTGTGGTGCAAAAAAGAACGAAAATCAACCTCAATTGTCTTTGTATAGGTTAGTAAACAGTTTTCATCAAATATTACTTAGAATAATCCACATAGATAGAAAAAAATGTCACGGATACTTGAATCTATTGCCAAAGTATATATATTTACTTTTATTTCTGTCTGTGAGACAGTTTTAGTAAAAAATTGTTGTTTACAATAATATGTCAATATGGCATAGTTACGTACCATTTCACAAAAGTATCGATATAATCTCCTATTTAAAATTCAACATATACTAAATAATCTATTTTAACAATGGATGTTTCCGCAGTTTTGTGTAACGCTAAAGTAAGACGTCAGTATTTTAGTATTGGTTTTAGTTACATAAGTAGATGTTCAAATTATCATGTTTTATAATTATACGGGCGCGATTGACAGAGCGGCGTTGGCGACGATCCCAGAGCGACCACCAAGCGTAATAATAAAAAGTGAGATACATACAATAAGATTGACTTCACTACATATCTATTTTGTGCTAACGTAGTTTCGAAGATATCATCGTTTAATCAGTGGCGCCGAAATTGTGCGCGAGCACTTCACAAATACCCACAGGTTTTCCACATATATAAAGATAAACATTTAACAAACACTATCTTTTTCTATTTCACCATTCCATTAAACGCTGTTCATAAACACAGTCCTATTTGTTTCAAAGACGCTTTACGTAGAATTATATGAATACAAATTCGACTTGAGAAAATCATTAGCCAATCAAGAGACCAAGTTAACCCCGGGTTCCGGGCTCTAGCTAGGCCGACGGCAAAGTAGGAACAGGAGTTGATTTAAGTCAGTAACGGTCTGTCCCGAAAAAGGCTTAGATAGGCTTAGATGATTTCCCATAAAAAATACCGTTAATCAGCTGGCTAATCCCTAAAACTATACCTACGTAGAACTTTTACTCAAATTGTATCGATACTCGTTAAATACTTAGTCGGCACAACCCTAGCAACGGCAGCCATCTTATGCGACATTTTGGATTGTAGGTAGGCACCTTTTTTTCGTAGGTATTTCAAGTCCATATATTTCCTATGTCAATGGTAGTAAGGGAATAACCAACCATAGACTATGAGTGTCTGCTGACTAGTATTACAGTAGACTGTGCGGAGCTATTTGATTCGATTCATCCAAGTAGTTCCTGTTCCAGTACCACTTATGTTTATACGCTCTAGCTGTGTTTAGATCGCTGCAGCGCTGCTTCTATCAGAGTGATCAGTCCTGGAGTCGGAGTCCTAAAATGTTAGTAGGTTTGGCATTACTTATATTTTATTTGGTTGATCAGTTATGATATGACATAACCGATTTTATTCAATATGTCTTCATACGATTCCTCCTTATACTAAGTTTGTTCACCTATCCATATTTCTATGTTTTTTTAGATATCAGGTAATTGTTTAGAATTCATATAGATACTTACAATTTACTTTTAATAGTAGATAAATAAGTAAATAGGCACTGAGATGGGAATGGCCCGAATTGCTAACTGGCTTAATGTCAACTTACTCACCTTAAACACGTCTAAGACTAACTACATTTGCTTTGCCATCTCCAATCGCTCGCAACCAAAGGAAGACTTTACCATTGCAGTACATTCTTGTGATAAAGCCCTGCATGACAATTGTAGGTGTCCCACAATCAATAAAGTCACACAGACAAAATATTTAGGAGTCATAATTGACCATAGGCTTTCTTGGTACCCTCATCTGGATCATGTTAACGGAAGACTTAACAAACTAGGTTGGTTTTTTAAAACCTTGCGATATGTCGTGCCTACACACACTTATAGAAATACAGGTCCACCAAGAAACATATTAAATGAAATTTATATTGCAATTGCGCAATCAGTATTGGGGTACTGTATACCTGTTTGGGGGGGTGCAGCAAAATCAAAATTTATAGAAATTGAACGAGGACAACGAGCATTAATTAAAATCATGTATTTTAAAAAAAAAAGACATCCAACAGAAAATCTTTACCAGATAAGTGGACTACTGTCAGTAAGGAAATTATACATTGTTTTTATTACTCTAAAAAAACATAAGACCTTAACATATGATTTAAACATATTAAAAAAAAGAAGAAAAGACATAATTGCACTAGTCCCACAAACAAAAACTAGACTTGCTGCCATGCAATATAACCGACGTTCTTCAGTATTATATAATCGCATAAATAAACAGATATACATATACACAAAAACATTAAAAGAAAGTAAAATAACATTGGTAAATTGGATAAAAAACCTTACCTATGAAGAGACTGAATCACTCCTTGAGCACATAAAATAAAGAAGCACACACACGCAGTAGAGCCCACATCCACAATTACCCACACTTACACACACGCACGCACACTCACACACACACACACTCACACACACACCAGACACTCTCACACACACACACGCACATGCACACACACACACACACACACACACACACACACACACACACACACACACACACACACACACACACACACACACAATCACATAGTTATAAAATGCATGCTTAAAACTTAAAAACTTAAAAATTAAGGATAATTTAGGTGACTTTTAAATGTATCGATATGGAAGAGCGGTGTCTCCTAATACAGGCATTATTTGCTTAAAAGGAGGCTCCAATCACTAAAATTTGTTAACGATTTCTTTTGGTACCAAATAAAGATTTATTATTATTATTATTATTATGTAGGTACTACTAGATGCCATGATATTTGCATAGCATGGCATCCATTTTGTTTTACAAATTGCGGCTATATATATATATATATATATATATATATAGATATAATACAGAAATCTTTGAATCATTCTCGAAAAAGTCGAAGGGATTGTTACTTTTTCTATTTAATTTTGATAATACTGAAAACTATGGCAAATACGTAATTTCTTCCTTCTCTAATCATCGGAATTATGGTCTACTATGGAGCGAGTAAGAGAGGACACTGGTGTCTGCTTACGGTTTCGAGCTATGGAAAGGGATGATGTTACAGAAAACACCAGTGTCCACTTGGTAATTCATTGGTATATTTATTGAACAAATTTTGCTGTACATAATTGCAAGCCCGCATTTATTTCTTATTTCTAGGTATGTGTTTACATTGTGCTGGATTCTTATAATCCATTAAAAACACATTAAATAACATCATCAGCCTATGAGTGACCACTGTTGAGCAAAGGCCTCTTCTCACATGGAGAAGGTTTGAGCATTAATAACCCCACTTGCTCAAGGGGGGTTGCTGATTTCAAATTTATAATCAGAAATTATAAGTCCAAGTTTCCTCACAATGTTTTCTTTCACTACATGTCAGTGGTGTCTAAATAATCATAAAAAGTACAGATAACTTTGAAAAAGTCACTTTTTACTTGCCAGGTTTCGAACCCAACATTCTCATGCATGAGAAGCAAGCCTTAAAGTCCAGGCCACCATGATGATAATATAAAAACAATTTAATATATTTAATATTAATATTAGTTATAGAATATACTTCACACCTTTCATCGGGGTTTAGTAAAGCTAATTGATCAAACTTGCCAAGAATCAATTTGTTATTGTTTGGGAAGATATTTTTCATGTTTTAGTGACCATGTAAGAATTTATTTTACATTTATTTTCATTGTGTAGGTATTTAAGCAAAGGTTTTTAATATTACAAGCACTAAGGGTACCAACCCAGTCACAGACCAGTTGTTGATAATATTATTTTGTTATAATTTCTGGTCTGACATTGGTGTGCTTTATGTACAGCTTAACCTTGGCAAAGATGCAAAAGGCTTTGCAAGATGTGCACAGTAAAGGCTAAAATTTACCTGGTAGGTACATAATGTACCTACATGCACAATTGTATTTGTCATGACAGATGTTCATTTGTAACTTTACAATTGTATCACTTCCAGATGTGGATTAGTAGTAGTAGTAAATATACCATAGCCTTCTTTGTGTAGATCCATTGCTGAAGTGGAAAGCCATCCTGTATAGCCATATATTACTAGAAAAAAATCAATATTGCCCAGGGTCGGAACTAGCTTGAAGCACATGACAGTATAAGTCACTTTTACCTTACCTTCAAATAAAAAGTCAAGTTGGACATGGGGATAAAATGAAAACTTTATAACCAAGGTAGTAATGGAAGTGTAGTTACCAGATATACCAGCCATGTAAATGTTGGAGGATATAAGGATCGAAAGTGTTGTTACTGAGGTCAAGTTTAAAAAATTTAGGTCAAAGAGACTAGGTTGTGGTTTGTGTGGAATGATTAAGAGTTTTATATGTTGAAATGCCCTACATTTTGTTTTGTCAAATAACTAATGTTGTAGCTCAGAATACAGAAATCGTATTCTGAGTGTTGTAGTTATTGTATGTGCAATTGTGAATTAAGTAACAGGGTTCCTAAGTAGTAATTATGTTTTTTATTTACAAATAAATTACTATGTACTTCACTTTGATTATTAATATGACATATTAATAATCAAAGGTACTTCATATTTTCAGTTTCCTCTTTCACAAAAAGTAACATATTAAGTATATCTTGAGAACTCAGAATCAGTTGTTCTTTATTCTGAGCTCGAGAAATTTCTTGACGTGTTTAAGACTAGGACGAAGACTATTAAAACCGTGTTAACTCCACTAATTCTATTAACGAAATTTGGATATGATAAACAGAAAAGGCTAGCAAGATTTTAAATTAGAATAAAAATACAAAAATAAAATGTAAAGTACAACAAATTTGATCTTGTCAAGTTTGAGAATGACGTATGACATGACATATGACGTGCATCAAAGAAGCGAATATATGACAGGGATGCGTTCGGTTACACGCATACGTACAATACTTCGAACGAGACGTGTTCAAAAATTGCAGTTTTCTTTTTACATTTCACTAACTTTTGTTAGTATTGCAAAATAGAAACATTAAGTTATACGTAATTGTATTGGAATGTTGTGTAGTGTCTATAGTGTTCAAGATTGAAACAGTGCGTAGCTAACGTTATTATACATAGTCTGGCCATAAATACTGTTACAATTAAAAATTAACAAAACATTACATTTGAATTTGGAATCTGTCATTTTTATATAATTTTTCATTGTGTTTTCTTATTTTGGCGCCAATAAATTGTTCAATATTTTGCGATATTAAAATGGAGTGGGGTGATAAAGAGAACCGAATCGCTGTGATTGCATTACACAAAGTGGGTATGGAGCCAAATGCAATTTTTAAAACTCTCCACACGCTTGGCATTAGTCAAATGTTTGTGTACCGGGCTATTAATAGGTAGAATGAGACCTCCTCTGTTTGTGACAGAAAAAGATCTGGCCGTCCACGTAGTGTTCGTACGAAAAAGGTGGTCAAAGCAGTAAGGGAAAGAATTCGAAGAAATCCTGTCCGAAAGCAAAAGATTTTATCTCGGGAGATGAAGATAGCACCTAGAACCATGTCGCGTCTTTTAAAAGACGACTTAGGACTTGCAGCCTCTAAGAGACGCAGTGGACATTTTTTTAAACGATAATTTAAAAAAAGAATAGGGTGATAAAATCTAAACAACTACTGAAGCGGTACGCAAAGGGAGATCACAGAAAAATTTTGTTTACCTACGGATGAGAAAATTTTTACAATTGAGCAACATTTTAACAAACAAAATGACCGTATTTATGCTCAAAGCTCTAAGGAAGCTTCTCAATTAGTCGACAGAGTGCAACGTGGGCATTATCCGACTTCAGTGATGGTTTGGTGGGGTGTTAGCGATGAAGGAGTGACTGAGCCATACTTTTGCGAAAAAGGTATCAAAACATCGGCACAAGTGTATCAAAATACCATTCTTGAGAAGGTAGTTAAGCCCCTTAACAACACCATGTTCAATAACCAACAATGGTCCTTCCAGCAAGACTCGGCGCCGGGTCATAAAGCTCGGTCCACGCAGTCTTGGTTGAAAACGAACGTTTCCGACTTCATCAGAGCTGAAGACTGGCCGTCGTCTAGTCCCGATCTTAATCCGCTGGATTATGATTTATGGTCAGTTTTAGAGAGTAGAGCTTGCTCTAAACGTCATTATAATTTGGACTCCCTAAAACAATCCATACGATTGGCAGTGAAGAATTTTCCCGTGGAAAGAGTGCGTGCTTCTATTGATAACTGGCCTCAACGTTTAAAGGACTGTATTGCAGCCAATGGAGACCACTTCGAATAAGCTTTTTCTGCTTTAAATTGTTTTATATTTATGTATTAAACTTACATACTGTAAAAGTAATAAATGTTATTTGCAATATGTTTTTTTTTATTTAATTTTGTTACAGTGTTATGGATAGACTAGGTAATTATATTATACAAGTTATAATACAATAGTTAAATAGAATATTTGGTACATAGCTACACTAAGTAAAATACTACGCGAGTAATGTTCATGTCGAGAGTCTGGCGTAGTACATGCTTGCATACGATGCTTGTGGTCGCGATGTATTGTTGTCTAGTATCTCACTAACGCCGCGAAAGGTTCGCGGGGAATTCTTGACAAGGTCTAAATTGATAAAACGTCCATTTTATAAAGCGGTTCGCGAATTGAAAACAACGAATGAGAGAAAGATCGCAGAGCGATCTTATTAAAATAGATGAAACCTTAGGTTTTCAGTAGCGTCTCAAGTACTTTGAAATACCTGTGCGTTTAAAAAATGTCATGATTGGTTTTCTTCGTATCTACAAAATAGGGAACAATTAGTCGAAATAGAGTTTTTTAATAAGAAAACCAATGAAATAGAATTATTCCGGTCAAACAGCATACCAATCACAGCTTCGACCCACAAGGAATTGTAATCGGCTGCTTCCTCTTTCTTGTATACTTTAACGACCTTCCTAATAACATCAGTGAATCTTGCGTTTTATTCGCAGATGACATATCCATAATTTCTTCCTGTGACACCAATATGAATTTAAATGAAAAACTAACCAATGTATTAAACACTACGACAGCTTGGATGACAGAACATAATCTAGAAATAAGTTTTAACAGACCGAAATAATGATGCCCACCAAAAACAACTATTAGACTATATATAACTATTAACTTTAGTTTTAACAATATAATATTGGAAGCAGTTGATAAGTTCATCCTACTAGGCCTAACATTGATAAGCATATTGATAGGAAATCACATAATTACAAAAAATAAGTGCAAAGTTGTCAAAATTCTCGTACAATCATTTTTTTTTTCATCTCAGAGCATCGATCACTAATAAAGAACTAGATACACAATCAGTGACAAAAAAATGTCCCAACTGAAAGTCCACCAAACTCGACATCGCGGTGTAGTTTTAGTTTAGTACCACTCGAATGCTCCGACGGTAAACACGCCTCAGTGCTCGTTTAAAAACTGCAAAAAACACACATCTAAGACGCAAAAAAGGATGGAATTTCATATTTTCGTTAAGTAATAATATTATCATTATATAATTGTCATCATTCTATTTTAAATATTGATATTTTATTAAGAAAATAACTTTAAAACTTTTTCCAATCGTATTCAAAAACCGGGGTTATAATGCACACAGTTTATAAAGACACTTATACTAAACGTAAAATCATTCTCTAGCATGACCACTTAAGTTGTTCGGTTTACGTGGATTGATTCTGTTCCGTTTAGCGGAGACGCTATTGTTTCTAATTTTATTTATTGTTTTTTTTTTATTAAAAAACAGTTTTTATTTAATATTATACTTCTTTACTGTGTTTATTAAAACATGGAATAGGCAGATATAATGGATTTAATTTTAACTGCAGTAAAGACTTTTTTTTAGTTTTCATCAAAATCCCGTGCGATATGAAAAATTGACAACAATAACGCCAACAGTACTTACTTTAGATATACTTATATATTCTTTTAGATTTTCTATATCACTTTGTGAAAACAACTCTATGAGTTGCATTTAAGGTTTAATTTACATTAATGCATGTTTATTTCAAGTATAAGTACCTAAATACAGTTGACGACAGTTTTGAAGCGAACTTTTGTATGGGATTGTGTATCTAGTTCTTTATTAGTGATCGATGTCTCAGAGAGATAAAAAAGAACACAGACCTAAAGACTGCACTAATAACATATTATGTGTATGCATATGCGTGGTTCAAATACGGTGTTACCCTATGGGGAAATAGCACAGATGCTCTTACATTGCTAACACTACAGAAAAAACTTATTCGTATTTTAGTAGACATAGAAGAGACGGAAAGTTGCCGACCATACTTCAAGGATCTAATAATATTAACCCTACCCTGCCTTTACATATTCGAAACTTGTAAATTTGTTCGTAAATACCCTGAATGTTATACAACAAGAGAAGATGTACAATCTAGATATATGCTAAGACACAAAAACAGCTTAACCTACCATCTTCGCGACTAAAAATGCACTCCTCAAATACACATGTCATGTCCATAAAACTTTATAGTGAACTCCCAAAAGAAATAAAAAGTGTAAATATAGATAATGCTTTTATTAACAAATTGAAATCATTTTTGATAAATAAAGCATACTATAGGATAAATGAATACACAATGGATAAAATATAAGTAACTAAAAAACTGGATAAATATAAATAATTATAATAAAATAATAAAAAATAAGAAAAATTTAATGTAAGCAAATTGTACCTCAACAAATGTATAATTTGTTATTAATATGTCCTCAAATTTTCTTTATTTTAAATTAATTTTTCCTTTAATGTTTCATTTTACTGTGATTTTATGTTATTTTATCTACTTTTACTATATTGCTGCGCCCTAACAGGGTCCACAAAAGTACTGTAGTTTTTAAGCCTTGTATACCTACCACCTACAAAACACTTGTGGAATGCAAATAAAATGATATGATATGATACTTCATACCAACTTTACAATGCCTCACGTAAATACTAAGGGGTAGTGCATATTCGTTAATAAATTAATATTTGGTTTTTGTATTTCAGAAGCCGTCGTAAACATGGAGGACGACGATCCCCAGCCAGGTAAACTTACTTTCAGGTGCTTTTAAATCATTTATTGCCCGACTTCGGCAAAGCAAATGGAGGGATTTTTTATGTGATAGGCCGGCAAACGAGCGGGCGGATTACCTGATGGTAAGCAATCAGCGTCGCCCATGGACACCCGCGACGACGGAGGAGTTACGAGTGCCTTGTCGACCTTTTGGGGATTAGGGATTTGGAGATTTTGGGAAAGGGAACGGATTGGGGTAGAGGAAGGATTGGGCCTCCGGTAACCTCACTCACACGGCAAAACACAACTCTTTGGTTATTTCACGCCGGTTTTTTGTGAGGCCGTGGTATCACTCCGGTCGAGCCGACCCATTCATGCCGAAGCATGGCTCTCCCACACTTAACAAGACTTAAGGGTTATGATTTTGACAGGCTATGCATGTAATTATGTGTGTTGATCTGATCACTCGTAACTTCTAAACAACATATCAGAATTCGAAAAATGACATATCATTGGAAACGTCTTAATTGTCCGCTGGTTATAGGCGATATGGGGCGTACAAAATCTAATGTGGCGTCCTTTAGCGGACAAAACATTCAGAATAAAAAAAAAATAGTTGAGATAATTATTATGTTGCTTGGTATCATTTGAAAGCGCTTTACTTGTACCTAAATATATAATATATATATTTTTATATATATTACTAGCATTTGTTTGTGACTTTACCTGTAGGTATTCATGGGTTGATTGCATATGAAAGAAAGAAAAAGTATTTATTCGCGTCTCGGATGCACATAAGACACAAAATAAAACAAGTGTTGAAACATAAAACAAAAAAAAAACATGCTTATACAATATAAACAAGAGTTGGTAAAATAAGGAAATATATGCGTCACAACCACGCGAAATGGCCCTCGCTCAGCATAATTATGCAGCTTCACTATGCGAGACAGTGTCGCAGCGCTGATTTTCAGCGATGGCCGCCACCGTATAATTCAAATCTATTCATTCATAGCTTCTACTACATATTACATATCATTCGTTCATCAATTTAACTTTTGTTGATATTATGAGCCACAAATACACTTTCACAACAAAATAGTACAAATAGTAAAAACTAAAACCCGGAAAATATGTTGCGTGGTTTTCCCCTGCGAACAATAAAGCGTTTAAGCGCAGCGCGTAACAAAGTTAAGATACTTTAATTTTAATTAGTAATAGGAGTTACATAAAAGTGGTATTAAAATGTAATACCACTATTATGTAACTCCTTCATCATTATAATTTACATATTCACAGAACGCATCGTCCACAAATTGAGCAGGTGCATCAATATGATGAAATCCACAATTTAATTGATTAATCATAGCATCCGTTGTTTCTCTTACTATGCGATTAGGTAGCGGTGTAGGTATACATATGATAATAAAGAAGCACTCACTGAAGTTGAAGTCTCAGTGAAGTCCGCTTGTTAGATGTAGACCTGGAGGTATCGTAAAACTGTAATTGAAACCTAAAATAGTTTTAATACTTAGGTTTAACAGCAGAGAAAAGCCAGATATAGTAGTTCGCTAAATGACTATACACGCTTAAACAAATTTAAAATAATAACATTAAATATACAGTATGTATATTTGACCGAGGGACTTATTCAAACCCCCAATAGTTTATGCATAGACTACACCAATAAACATATGAAAAATAAAAAACCCTGATCAATGACGAGCAAAATCAAACCAAAAATGTTGTAAAAATTTCGCAACGTTTCGACACCCTAGCGCTTATCACAGAACATATGCGCGGTCAATGACCGAAGCCGACGTAAGTATTAAATCTGGCTTAGGACAGGCAAAAATATCTAGGTACATCAAATAATGTGACGTTGAACACGCGACACTGTTGCTGAAGTTGGAACACTACGGCATTCGAGGGGTATCTCTCAATTTATTAAAATCATACCTGCAGGATAGGCAGTTCAAAGTACAAGTAAATAAAGTGAACTCCCAGGGTGCTAGCATATCTATGGGCGTACCACAGGGCTCGATATTAGGTCCTTTCCTGTTTTTAGTGTACATAAATGATTTACCTCATTTATTTCAACGTGAACCGGGAATGGTATTATTTGCTGATGACACATCGTTGATTTTTAAAATAAATAGACGGACAGATAATTATGACGACGTAAATAATGCTATTACGAAGGTTCATAATTGGTTTACAGTTAATAATTTAGTCCTAAACGACAAAAAGACAAAGTGTATACGATTCAGTTTGCCAAATGTTAAAAGTAACGAATGTGACATGTTATTAAACGGTAATAAATTGGAATTTGTAAAACAAACTACTTTTCTGGGGCGTGCGTTCGTGCAGCGGAATGTTGTTGAATTTAAAGATTTTAATTATGCAGATATTTAGTGTATGACGTCGTATAATTGTGTATGGTAAAAAAAAATTTGTGCACGCAACCATTGTGGAGAAATTCACCAAAAACTGATTCCGCTGGGCGAACGTTGTCCTGGCGGAACTTTTTTTAATCCATAGACTTTAGAAGAAAAGAGATGTATCCAAAAATTAGTGTGTATTTGTGTGTAATTGTGTATGTATGAATAAAACTAGTGCATGCATAAACTTCGGAGAAATTCAAGTTTCCGCTACGCGAACGTTTGGCCATTAGCTAGTTTTCATATAAAGCGCTTACATAGAGAGCTGTAGATTTTTACATACGTTGTTTTGAATTTGTGTATATTTGTTTAAAAAACAGATTTAGAAAAAATCGTGGGATTTAAAAGATAAAAATATAAACGTAAAATACGCTTATTAGGTCTTAGCTCTTAAAGTATGCACTTTAGGGTCTAGATTATCACGTTTATAAAAACCTTGTAAGTGTCTGCAACATGTTGCCAAGTATCAATGATGTTCCGTTAGTAATTAAATAGTTATAGGACAAATTTACCATGAATAGATCACTGTTTACAAAACAGTCAAATATCACGACGTTCTAAATGAATTGCATGGTAAAATGTATGCCAATAATTAGTGTATTCATTCAACTATTCACATGCAAAATTTCATGTCATTAAATTCAGTAATTAAAGAAAAACAATTATAATACTGACGAAGCATCGAAAACCTACATAACCCGACCAAGTTCGGATGGCTACAAAAAAGCGGCCGTGCCATATATCTAAGAAACGTTCTTAACTTTCCAATATAGCATTTATTAATATGGTACATTACCGTACACAAGCGTTAGGAAAAAATAAAACACAGTATCGTACACACGCTCGTGCATGCCTCTATTGGTTAAATAGTGCAATAAAAAATATTGGTTAAATAGTGTAATAAGCTACAATATGATAAATATTTACCTAAACAGTAGTACTTAAGTACTTACATGTGGTAAATATTTAATTTCCCTAAGGGGTCTATAGTTAGAATCCTGATCCGTGAAATCTTCAATAGAAATTAGCTGTATGAATTTTATTTGTCTTAAATATAATTAGATTACATCTCAAATCTCAAGCGCATACTTAAATAAAGTACCTACGTAAATAGTACCTACTTTCTGTCATAGTCAAATACATTTAAAAAAGTAGGTGTCCAAAAATAAATGACCTATAAATTATTTCGAAACAACAAGTGTGTTATCACCTGTACCAATTCAATACCGGTATTATACTGTACAATTTGAGATGTTACCTAAATATATTGAACAGCCGCTTTTTTGTAGTCATCCGAACTTGGTCGGGTTATGTAGGTTTTCGATACTTCGTCAGTATTATAATTGTTTTTCTTTAATTACTGAATTTAATGACATGAAATTTTGCATGTGAATAGTTGAATGAATACACTAATTATTGGCATATATTATACCATGCAATTCATTTAGAACGTCGTGATATTTGACTGCTTTGTAAACAGTGATCTATTCATGGTAAATTTGTCCTATAACTATTTAATTACTAACGGAACATCATTGATACTTGGCAACATGTTGCAGACACTTACAAGGTTTTTATAAACGTGAAAATCTAGACCCTAAAGTGCATACTTTAAGAGCTAAGACCTAATAGGCGTATTTTACGTTTATATTTTTATCTTTTAAACCCTACGATTTTTTCTAAATCTGTTTTTTAAACAAATATACACAAATTCAAAACAACGTATGTAAAAATCTACAGCTCTCTATGTAAGCGCTTTATATGAAAACTAGCTAATGGCCAAACGTTCGCGTAGCGGAAACTTGAATTTCTCCGAAGTTTATGCATGCACTAGTTTTATTCATACATACACAATTACACACAAATACACACTAATTTTTGGATACATCTCTTTTCTTGTAAAGTCTATGGATTAAAAAAAGTTCCGCCAGGACAACGTTCGCCCAGCGGAATCAGTTTTTGGTGAATTTCTCCACAATGGTTGCGTGCACAAATTTTTTTTTACCATACACAATTATACGATGTCATACACTAAATATCTGCATAATTAAAATCTTTAAATTCAACAACATTCCGCTGCACGAACGCACGCTTTTCTGGGTATAACCATAGATGACAAACTTCAATGGGGCCCCATATCACATCTCTGGCAGGACGGTTGAGCTCTGCAGCATTTGCTGTCTGGAAGATCCGACAGCTAACAGATGTGGACTCTGCAAGACTGGTGTACTTCAGCTACTTTCATAGCATTATGTCGTATGGCATCTTGTTATGGGGACAGGCTGCTGACATTGGGTCTATCTTTGTCTTGCAAAAGCGTGCCATCAGAGCTATTTACAACCTAAAGCGTCGTGAGTCTCTTAGAGAAAAGTTTAAAGAGATCAATATTATGACCGTGCCATGTCAGTTTATTTATGAAAACATTATGTATGTTAGGAAAAACTTAAAAATATTCGATAAGGTGTCAGATAGACATAATTATCAAACTAGACATAGAGATAGATTATGTCAGCCATTATTTAGATTGGCAAAGGTACATAAGTCGTTCATGGGATTCTGTGTTAAATGTTATAACAAAATCCCAGGCGAAATACAACAATTAAATGAAAGAAATTTTAAATTATGTGTAAAGAAAACTTTATGTAGAAAAGCATACTACACACTGAATGATTACATTGTAGATAAAGATGCTTGGAGACATGCTGGTCCTGCTACACAGGATAGCAAACCTACAGCAAAATAAATAACGTTCCAGTGGATTTTGCTTAAACGGGACTTCTTCATTTTAGTGAAATTGCATTATATTGTATAACTATAACTTGATAAATTTGTAAATGTGAGTGCCCTGTAACCTATTATAATTGGTTAGACTAGCAGAATGTCGGTCCTTATAACAGCTTGGAGTTGTCATGCTCACTGAAAGGTCACACTGGCGGTGGCATGGGCGCTGGATCGCTTAATTCCCTATAATATGGTTGAGTTGGGCGATGCTGGTGTACATGTCATGCTCGTGAACGGGCACCGTCAGTTGAGACTGGTCAACTCCGGACTGTCTATTGTCCTTAAGGTTACTTTATTTTAACACGCTTTTTTATATTTGAATAAATATTAGTGTTACACTGTTCTCACATAATTGAACCAACTGTTTGTAAAAGGAATCTGTATGTGAAACTGATTTAAAAAGAGTAACCATGGAGTTTCTTGCTCGTTCTTCTCCATCGGAATCTACACTTTGGAACGAGCAAATAGCTTCACTAAGAGGACTGACCGACAGACTGACACTATATCTTCAAAATTTTGTTTGACGTTCAAAAGTGCCTGTAAAGGTCTAATTGGAACAAATGATTTTTGACTTTTTTTTTAATAAACATTCTGCAATTCGAATTTTCATAAGACGTGATGTGCCATCGTATTTTTGCGTATTTAAAAAAAATAATGTTTTAGTACGCACGCGCGCACCTGATAGTCCGCGGGGGCTCCGTCAGGTTAGTAGTACAAGTTCTTATCATAAAATAAGGGCCTATTAAATTGTTATTTTAAATGCCTGCCCACACATTTACACTAAAGCGATGTTGGTAAGCGTCCTGTCGCGTTACATAGGAATTTTTGTGACTCCACTAATGCTCATTATGTACATTAAAAACCCCCATTCTTGTGAAAGTGGCTTCGTCGGTGAATGAAATGTTTTTGTCTAAATTAGACAAAAACCACCGACAAAAATTCACTCGAGGTTGATGGACCCCAAGGTCCTGCACGATCTAAAATGGTAAGGGTGCAGCAGCGTGGTCATCGTTGTGCAGCAGCTTCCACACAGTCATGTGTGATACACCAAAACGCCTTGCAGCATTTCGAGTACTTTCTTGTGGGTTTTCTTCGAAGTACTCGAGGATGGCATGTTGTAGGTCTACTGGGTATGGTGCTGCTCCTCTTCCTTGAGCATGCGTCGGCACCGTAAACTGATCATACGTTCGTAGCCGCTGGTTGACACTTAGCATCAAACTGTATGATGGTCTGTACACATTAATGTCAGCTAGCACACGTAGGCACGAACCATATCCTAAAATTCTTCATTTGAATACTGGGACGACATTATTACACTTCACTTCACTACCTAACACTAGAAAATGCACTTTACGTAAATTTGGTGAACGGGGATGTTTACACAATGCGGAAGCGGCGGCGCGTTCGCATAGACTGGCAGTCAGCGGAGCGAGGGCGCGGGCAGGGTGCGTGCGAGCCGGCCGATACCTACATGTTTGGCACAGTCGGCGACAAAGGAAAGGGGCGGGGCTTGCGCGCTCGCTTCCTTAGCGACAGGAGCGGCACGAGTTTGGCGCGTAATTATGTAGGCATTTTACTATCTCCGAGTTCGCTTTGCGCTCTGTTTTATGAACACTGTATTTTATTGGACAATTAGATGAAAAATTAAGGTCATAGTTTTTTTACATATTTGGGACGAGAATCGAATACTGACCACCCTCCTTCAATAAGTCCGTCGTTCAAATTTACATGCTGTATAAGGAGGTCAGTTCACCCATTTGAGGTAAATCGCCATTAGAATCCCGGTCCGACATGATATAATAACAAAATCGTAAATGAGATGATCAGAAACGCGGTAAGTTCGGTACAGGCTGGCAGAGCGACCCCTCACTCTCGTGTCTAACTCAAAAGTAACGTCTTTTCCATCCAATACTTCCAATGTCAAAAAGACATGTTGCGACTGCTTGACGTTTGCGAACGACAATAGATAGCGTTATTCTAAACTATAGCGGTGCCTCTTTGGTGGTGCTGCGACACTGCGACATATGGATTTGCTTAAATGGCCATACCCTTCCAAAAGCGTAACCGAGAGTGCCAAATCCCCTTTCGATGTCAAAGATGCACGTCACCGTGGTCGCCTTATAACGGATAAAATGGTTTTAATTTTAAGTGGAGTAGGCTCAGCAAATTGTCAGTTGCGACGTAGCCGTAGATATGGGAATTGACCACGAAACAGTTTTTCTGCATTTGAAAATAATTGGGTACACAAAAAAGCTCGATATTTGGGTACCTAACTCACGATACGAGCTCACTGAAAGAATCCTAATGAACCGTCATATTTGTGATTCTTCATTACGACGTAATAAAAACCGAAAATTTTTCGAAGAAGCTGATAAACTGGTAAGCAAGAATACGACAAGAGCGTCCGAAAAAGGTCATAGTCAAAGAGCGGACAGTCTTCACAGACTGTTACCACTAGGCAAGACCACCGATTGTAAACTCCACTGTGAACAACTGATGAGATTGAAGCAAGAAGTTGAGAGAAACCGGCCGAAATTAATTAATAGAAGGGGCGTGCGGGGTTTTTCATCATGATAACGCTAGACCTCACACATCTTTAGCCACAGATACAAATTACCACCTGTTTCGGTCTCTTCTGAAGTCTGTAGGGTGTCAGGTTAACGTCACGGGAGGACAGCGAAAACCACTTGTGGCGGTATTTTGATCAGAAGTCCTAAAATTTCTATGGCAATGGGATCATGTCTCTGCCTACAAGATGGCAAAAAGTTAACGAACAAAATGGTTCGATACGATATTAAAAACGTTTTAATTTTTTTCCAAAAAAAAGCGAAGTTTCTTTTTCCTCAAGCTATAAGTTCACGGTCCACATCATCACAGCTATTTAATTAGATTTTCAAAGTGTGTTTTCCATTTTCATTTCAGGTCCTTCACAGAGGCCACGGAGAAATAGTCAAAGAAACCCAAAGAATCATAACCAAAATATTCGAAGGTCTACGTTCTCAATTAGCGAATTAAGCTGGCCAACAGGAAATCGTCAAAATCAACCGATATATCAACATAATAGCCATCGTGTCCAGCAAACAAATGCTAACCCACAAGGACAAAAAAATCATGGACAAATGAAAAGGGATCATAGTAATTATTTATATTATTTATGCTATGAGAATATAGGTACTTGTGTCGGCTGGGAGCTGTCATGCTCACTCAGAGGTCTCATTGGCGGTGGCACGGGCACTGGATCGCCCAATTCCCTATAATATGGTTGAGTTGGGCGGTGCTGGTGTACGTGTCATGTTCGTGAACGGGCGTCGCCTATTGGGACTGGTCAGCTCCAGTGGTCTGTCTAAATATGTTGTCCTTAAGGTTCACTTCTTTTTCGTACTTTTTGCCTGAACATTAGTGTTACATTTTCTCACATATCAGAACCGACTAAATCATGTAACAAAGAAATGTATTGTAAAACTGATTGAAAAAGAGTAACCATAGAGTTTCTTACTCGTTCTTCTCCATAGGAATCTGCACTTTGGAACGAGCAAATAGCTTCACTAGAGGACAGACGGACGGACTGACACGCTTAATTTTAAAGCTCTTTTTATATATCTTTTTCCTTTTTTGCTTGCTTGACGTTCAAAAGTGCCTATTGTGGTCTAATTGGAATAAATGATTTTTGACTTTTGACTTTTTGACTTTACTATCTAAATTGTACACTCATACTACACACACAAGTCGGCTTTCAGAGGACCCGAGAAAGGACGAAGAACGACTTTCATTCCAAAAAGCCAAGTGATTGCGATTTTCGTTTGCCGTAGGTTTAAATTCTCGGAATTTCTATCTTCTACTTCTAAGTATTAAATTTGGTATTTGGTAAGTAAGTATAAGTTTCAGACCCGAGTTAATCTACGAAAACGAAGTCGCGGGAAAAGGCTAAAACTATTTTATCTACCTATATGTATACTAACTACATGCATACTTCTGAACTCAATTTTAAAAAATTCTTCAAACTATATTTATTTTTCTAGGTTCGAATAGATTACGACTGCAACACCACGACTTACAACAGGAACCAGATCTAAGAACTTTTGTGAAAAAGGACCGATTGAGAGATAATAATCCGAGGTCTGGTCGAGCCACCCAAAAAAAGCGAACCATGGGTTTTATAGGTTTACAAAAAATTGCTGAATCAGAGGAGAAGGATGTGCTTCAAAAAATAAACGAACACCGGGAAGATTTTTTTTGTATTGTTAATGCACCCATCGAGAAACACGATGTCTTTGTATTAGTTGTCGAAATTCTATCAAAAGCCACTCAATCACCTTTTGTTGAATTAAAATCAAAATTAATGCTTGACGTCTTTAATACGGTTTTTATAAATCATCTACGGTACTATTTAGTGGATTTACCTTACGACGAAAATAAGTCCAGTAATAACTTATATTGGAGGAATCAAATCCAGTTTTGGAAGAATTTGTTAACATTCTGTAGTGACATAGTCGATACGTCTCCAGCTATAGCTATAAACAGATGTAAAGGGCTTATAGCCGTGATGAAAACGTGTTTGGAAAGTTTACATGATAATCACGGGCTTGTGTTATCTGAAGACTGCACTATAAAGTTCAATGAAATTCGTCAAAAGATGACTTCATATGAAAATAGATATCAGGTGGGTGTTAAACTACTTCAAATAAAAAAAAAAACTTGGTAGCAATCGCGAATGTGTAACGCGAGATGGATACCTAGTGATTAGTAGTTTTCTGTTTTCGCACTAAAAGTCAGTTTTGAAGCTGGGAGGAGTCGATTGGGCTGCGTGCGTTCGTGCAGCGGAATGTTGTTGAATTTAAAGATTTTAATTATGCAGATATTTAGTGTATGACGTCGTATAATTGTGTATGGTAAAAAAAAATTTGTGCACGCAACCATTGTGGAGAAATTCACCAAAAACTGATTCCGCTGGGCGAACGTTGTCCTGGCGGAACTTTTTTAATCCATAGACTTTAGAAGAAAAGAGATGTATCCGAAAATTAGTGTGTATTTGTGTGTAATTGTGTATGTATGAATAAAATTAGTGCATGCATAAACTTCGGAGAAATTCAAGTTTCCGCTACGCGAACGTTTGGCCATTAGCTAGTTTTCATATAAAGCGCTTACATAGAGAGCTGTAGATTTTTACATACGTTGTTTTGAATTTGTTTATATTTGTTTAAAAAACAGATTTAGAAAAAATCGTAGGGTTTAAAAGATAAAAATATAAACGTAAAATACGCTTATTAGGTCTTAATTTTTAAAGTATGCACTTTGGGGTCTAGATTTTCACGTTGATACAAACCTTGTAAGTGTCTGCAACATGTTGCCAAGTATCAATGATGTTCCGTTAGTAATTAAATAGTTATAGGACAAATTCACCATGAATAGATCACTGTTTACAAAGCAGTCAAATATCACGACTTTCTAAATGAATTGCATGGTAAAATGTATGCCAATAATTAGTGTATTCATTCAACTATTCACATGCAAAATTTCATGTCATTAAATTCAGTAATTAAAGAAAAACAATTATAATACTGACGAAGCATCGAAAACCTACATAACCCGACCAAGTTCGGATGGCTACAAAAAAGCGCCCGTGCCATATATCTAAGAAACGTTCTTAACTTTCCAATATAGTATTTATTAATATGGTACAGTATCGTACACAAGCGTTAGGAAAAAATAAAACACAGTATCGTACACACGCTCGTGCATGCCTAGTCTATTGGTTAAATAGGTAGTGTAATAAGCTACAATATGATAAATATTTACCTAAACAGTAGTACATACTTACATGTGGTAAATATTTAATTTCCCTAAGGGGTCTATAGTTAGAATCCTGATTCGTGAAATCTTCAATAGAAATTAGCTGTATGAATTTTATTTGTCTTAAATATAATTAGATTATATCTCAAGTCTCAAGCGCATACTTAAATAAAGTACCTACGTAGATAGTACCTACTTTCTGTCATAGTCAAATACATTTAAAAAAGTGGGTGTCTAAAAAGAAATGACCTATAAATTATTTCGAAACAACGAGTGTGTTATCACCTGTACCAATTCAATACCGGTATTATACTGTAAATTTTGGGATGTTACCTAAATATATTGCACAGCCGCTTTTTTGTAGCCATCCGAACTTGGTCGGGTTATGTAGGTTTTCGATGCTTCGTCAGTATTATAATTGTTTTTCTTTAATTACTGAATTTAATGACATGAAATTTTGCATGTGAATAGTTGAATGAATACACTAATTATTGGCATACATTTTACCATGCAATTCATTTAGAAAGTCGTGATATTTGACTGCTTTGTAAACAGTGATCTATTCATGGTGAATTTGTCCTATAACTATTTAATTACTAACGGAACATCATTGATACTTGGCAACATGTTGCAGACACTTACAAGGTTTGTATCAACGTGAAAATCTAGACCCCGAAGTGCATACTTTAAGAACTAAGACCTAATAAGCGTATTTACGTTTATATTTTTATCTTTTAAACCCTACGATTTTTTCTAAATCTGTTTTTTAAACAAATATAAACAGATTCAAAACAACGTATGTAAAAATCTACAGCTCTCTATGTAAGCGCTTTATATGAAAACTAGCTAATGGCCAAACGTTCGCGTAGCGGAAACTTGAATTTCTCCGAAGTTTATGCATGCACTAGTTTTATTCATACATACACAATTACACACAAATACACACTAATTTTTAGATACATCTCTTTTCTTCTAAAGTCTATGGATTAAAAAAAGTTCCGCCAGGACAACGTTCGCCCAGCGGAATCAGTTTTTGGTAAATTTCTCCACAATGGTTGCGTGCACAAATTTTTTTTTACCATACACAATTATACGACGTCATACACTAAATATCTGCATAATTAAAATCTTTAAATTCAACAACATTCCGCTGCACGAACGCACGCGATTGGGCTCTGGGTCTTCGTATGCACGTCAGCTCTGTTTTGTTTACTTCTTCAGGAGTAAAAGATTCGATATAATTTTATTTGTCGTTTTGTTTTAGTCTGCATTAACAGGAAAGAAAGAAGAAAATACTTGTCAAGATTTGCAACCACCAGATGACTTTCGTAATCTGAGCTTGGTGCCGACAGTAGAGGACTTGTTCGGGTCGCACCCGTTCTTACGACCAAACATCGTTGAAGGCCGTTATGAAGACGTGAAACATTACTTAGATGTTCAGTTCCGACTTCTCCGGGAAGATTGCTTTGGTCCAGTCCGAGATGGTATAAGTAAGTAACATATAGTCGTGATTTGTGGTAATTTGTTAGCACTAGCCCTTGACCCAGCAGCTGGTTTTCGTAGCCAAATTCCTGAAATCGATTGAGTAGTTATATACCTATCGAAAAATTACGTTTAGGTATATAATTCAAAGTATTAAGGAATAAGACATGTATATGTTATAGGCAAACTCCGAAGCTCCGGCGCTCCTAGGTTGGACTGGTCAATCCTCAGGTCAGACTGAATTACTTAGTCAAAGCCCAAACAAATGTAAATTTTCGGCCTTTGACTAAACAATTTTCGTCAAACCTGGGAGAGACTAACTTGGTCAGGCAAACGTCAAAACACAATTTTATTAAATCGGGGTTTGACGAGTCAAACTCCGATTTAGGTATGAAGTGTCTTATTTTTGTATATTTGGAAGCAGTTTATCATTTAAGCAGCTTTCAAGTCTTAAGAACCGCTTAACTCTGCCAGTTCTGACACCTGATTTTCACTTTTATATTTGAGATGCTTTGAGAGAATGCCGTGTGGCATTAGGCCCGCCTTCTGTACGATGTGCAATAAAGTATAAAATAAATGCTTTGGAATATACGGAGATTAGTTTGTAAGATTAGGTATAAAAAATTACATTTTAAAAATTTTGATGTTTATTGTTTTAATAATTTCTTAAGTAATTAAAATGGGAAATTAATAATTTTTCTGACATGGTGAAGCATTTTATAATGTTTACTTAATGAGAGGCAACAATTACACGCCCGCACGCTCAATGAACGAACATGAAATGACAAAACAATCGGTCGGAACACCGCGAGAGACATTATGAACCTGTTTAAACATGTTCAGATCAACGTTTGACCGTGTTTTGCAGTCGCTTCTAGGATTGACTAGGCCAAAACCGAAACAGAATAATTTACTTTCGACGTTTGACTGAAAAGTTAGGAGCTCCTGGGTTTGACTAAAAATACTTCAGGCAAAGGGCGAATTGAAATGTATTTCGGGGATTGCCTGATAGCTTTGGCCAAACCTAGGATAAACCAGTCCTTCCGCGAAGAGACTGTGTATCGGACTTTGACTATAACATAGATATATATGTATATTTCGGCTGCATCTGCATCCGACTTTGGGCAATTGCGCTGAAGGTCTTGTCATTTTCGTTATTGCGATGAGTAAAATGGGGAGCACTTATCAAATAATAATAGTTTATTTATTCATGAATGAATGAGTACTAAATTACGTGCTTTAAAAGTTAGGTTAACCACACCGACATACAGTTAGTTACACATTCATTTATATGTATATTTAAATTAGAAATTTATTTTAGTTTTCATTTTACAGATCAGTATTTGGCAGACCCAAATAAAACAAAGTATGATCACATTCGGTGAGTGTCTAGTCCATTTCATAATTTGTAATATATGATCGTACATTGCCTACACTCAATAACATCAGTCCCAAAAATTTTTTTATTAGATATAATATTTACTAATTGTACATATTTATTTTTAGACTATTTCACAACACTCGATTTTTGTGTCCTTATGTTGACAATTTAAGAGTTGGCTCTTTAATACAAATGGATATGAAAAGATACAAACATTTGCGTAAAATTAACTGGAAAAACAGCAAGAGATTCCTGTTCGGTTCTTTAGTGTTATTCACAAAAGATAATTTTAATACTTTTTTGGCTGCAACAATTCTGCATCGAGACGCCGACCTCCTTTCGTCTGGGAAGGTGAGTTACTTGCTGGCTCTCTACTTGTCATACTCAATATACATACCTGTTTCCGCGCTAAGACTCCGTGTGAACTGCACGGCTGTGCAACGTGTAGGCTTTTCGGTTCCCGCACTCGGAAAAATGTTCCAATGGCTTTTTCTTATTAAAATGAACATTGATCGCTCGGATCAATGGGCACAAACGGCTGCCAAAAACTGTAACCAGAAGTTATGAAACATCCTTAGGTATAGGAGTAAGTAACAATCATATACATACCTAACATAATTTCCTAATCAGCAAAAATTTTTTATTTGCTTTATTTTAGTTAGCAGTTTCCATAGTAGATGTCAATCTAGATGACAGTGTATATAACGGAGAAATGTATACAATGGTCGAAAGTGAAGTTTACTTTGAATGTTATTACCACGTAATGAAATCTCTACAGGAATGTTCATTTCCACAACATTTACCTATGCAAAAGTACATTGTAGAAGTTAGTGTAAGTATTATTTGTTATTCTTTGCCTAAATTGTAAGCGAGCCATCTATTTGCGGCTCAACCCGATATCTTAGTAGGACCAGTCGAGATTAAAACTCAGCTTTTCACTTTGTGAAAACGTATTAAAACCATCTTGTAGTGAAGGAACTCAAACAATAAAATATTAAATAATACAGGTATTAATACCTAAGTATGTAAGATGTATACATGCTTATACTTGTTTGTGTAAAGTTTAGCCTGTTTTTAACATTTTTTAATAGATCCACCTGTTAGGAATAGTGCTTGGAAGATTAAACCAACCCGAGTCGGCCAATGTTCGCCATTATCTTTTTTTTGTTTGCAAACGAGTAGACGGATTACTTGATGGTAAGCAATCGGCACCGCCCTCAACACCAAAAACGACGGAGTTACGAGTGCGATGCTGGCCTTTTGGGGATAGTGGTATCGAATATATAAGGATTGAGAATGGATTGGCAGAGGGGGATTGATTGGGCCTCCGGTAACCTCACACGGCGAAACACAACGCTGTGGTTGTTTCACGCTTTTCTTTGAGGCTGTGGTACTACTTCGGTCGAGCCGACCCGTTCGTGCCGAAGTTTGGCTCTTCCACACTTATTATCATTACAAAATTTACGAGACCAATTTCAGTTGCCGCGTGTTTTTTTTTGAGCGGGAATCCCCCCTCATCCTCCTTCTGCTTGCTGCTTCATCCGCAACACCTGCTGTGGGGCCACCTGTGCTAATCTGTTGTACGCTCGGGTCTGGTTCTGGTTGTGCAGCGAGCTGCCCTTTCATTATTGACAAATAGCTTCGGCCCGCGGCCTCGCACGCGTGGTATGTTGATAAAAAATAGCCTATATCCTATTCCGGAGTGTATTCTATGCCTGTGCCAAATTTAATCCAGATCCATCCAGCCGCGTTGGCGTGATTGAGTAACAAACATCACAACATCGTACTTTTGCGAAATGATATCCATAAGACTTGTTTGCATAGATATTAATAAATTAGCATTCGTGACTTCTCCGGTTGGTTTAGTGCTCCAAAGAACAATGTATTTAATTTAAATAATCTGTCATCTTTCAGCTATCACCATAAAGTAGATAGGGTGGTTATAGAATATTATAGTACATTATTATTATTGAGCTGGTCTGGTTTTGGAATGAAAAAATGACTTATAATGACGCGATTTTAGTTTTCTTTTTAACTTTTTAGTTTTAACCTTTCAGCCTGGTTTGAATCCTCCCGCCTATTTAACACTAAACACAAAGTTTGTAATTCCAAATGAAGAAATAAGTCCAGTTTCAAGAAGTAATGAAAATAACATCGAAATAGTGACTAATGAGGAATCTGATAAACAGATTACAAAGAAGACATTCGATGTCTTGCAGCCTAACACTTGGCCAACGATGGAAGAGTTAAATTTAAACGAAAGTCAGTACGAGGCATATCGTTTAGCTCTTACCCAAGAGTTTGCCGTTATCCAAGGGCCACCGGGGACGGGTAAAACGTTCATCGGGCTAAAAGTTGCAAAAACATTGTTAAATAATATTCAAGCTGACGGACAATGCTTGATGCTTGTTATATGTTACACCAATCATGCGTTAGATCAATTTCTTGAAGCAATATCTCATGTCACTAAATCTTTAGTACGAATTGGGGGACAGTCTCGTAACAAAGCTATTGATCAGTTTAACCTGGCTACTTTAAGACGAACTTCTTTTTCACCCTCTGCATTCCCGTCTCATAAGTATTTCATTGAGCAAAGAAATCAAGTACGACGGTCAATGATTGAACTTCAGTCGGCCCTTAAGACAGTCGATGTTATGAATAATGGGCTTCTCAGTTACAACTATCTACTAGGTGATATTCCTGCTCTACAAGTGCTCGATGCCTATTACAAGGGTCAAGGAATGGAATTGGAAGATCCACTAGAATTTTGGTTATTTGAACCGGTCTTGACTTTTAATCCTGATTACTATAGAAACCTGGAAGATTGTCTCTTAGATTATAAAACTTCAGTGGATACTGAAGAGGAACTCGACAATCGAAGAGAACGTTTAGATTTCGACGACGAGAATCTAGGCTCAGATCTATGTGAACAAGAAGAGGCTTCATTTCTGTTAAGCAATGCCAAATCGAAAATTAAAAATTTGGTCAGTAATTACTATAGTACTCAAAATGTCCATGAAAGAAATTTAATAGTAAACACTATACTGAATCTCGATGCTCGAATTAATTTATTTAATGTAAGTATAAAGGTTATACTCTTACCCGCGGTTACTAGGTAAAAATAGTCCATGTGTAATCCTGTCTATTCCAAATTTCATTAATTAAACAAATACAGTATATACTTACACAATAGTTCAAATAACGAAACTTCAGTCAGTATCTACACACTTACGTGAAGTAATTTATCAACACTAAACTGTTTTTGTTTTATAGGAAATGGTGACAAATCGGGATCGCGACGTCGTTATCCACATAAATGATAGAACCATTTTTTCAAGAATAACAGTACAGAATCGGTGGTGTTTGTATTTCACTTGGACGCGCCCTAAAGTCATTGAAATCAAAGAGAAAGTTGTAAATTTACAAGTAAACGCCTTCAAATTGTTCCCACTTGTCTCCGAGCTAGGCTGCCAACTAAACAAGTTTTTTTAAATTGTAGGCAGCATTATCGCCTGCGCTGGCAGCGTACGAAGAAGCCAGAATGATGATGGATGTCCAACTATTAAAAACTAGACGCATCAAAGTAGTGGGCATGACTACTAGTGGAGGAGCTCGTATGCGAAAATTGTTGAAAACGATTGCACCAAAAATCGGTAAGTACGATGTAACAATGATATACTTATCGAATCATTTAAGTAAATAGTCATTTTTCGCCTAATATTTTTTTATGAGATAGGTCGGCAAACTAGCAGTCTGATTACCTGTCAGCGAGCAATGTGTCCCGACGTAGTCGTAACTCCTTTGGTGTTGCGCATTCCACATTTCCAAATTAATTCCAAACTCCTTCCTATTTTGTTGGTATTTCTTAGCATGACGCTGAGGGCACGTGTTTTTATTTGACGTGGCGGTTAAATTGTTAAAAGTCCGTCATATAGTCGCGACCGTTATTTATACAGAAGCAAAGCTAGTTGTTTTACAATACAACATGATTATAATGCCTTCTTTCTCAGTTATAGTGGAGGAAGCTGCAGAAGTGTTGGAGCAGCACATAATAACATCACTTACCAAGTATTGTCAACATTTGATACTTATAGGTGAGTGCTCGTAATACTCTACAATACATACCTACTAATTATATGGAAAATGCAACTAGAACGGTGCTAGAATGTTCATTATTTTTTGTGCAGACCGACAACAAACTTACGTCGTTGCTAGCAATTCGTAAGTATCTACAGTTAATATGTAGCTACGGATGGTTTATTTATTTAACAGGTGATCATCAACAACTACGGCCTTCGGCGTCTCACGTGAAACTGGCAAAACGATACAACATAGAGGTGTCACTGTTTGAACGAATGATAACAAACGGAATGCATAGTCGTAGGCTGAATGTGCAACATCGAATGCGGCCTGAAATTGCTGCACTTATTTCCCCTCATATTTATAAAGACTTGGCTAACCACCCGTCCGTCGAAACATTCAAAAACGTGCCAGGTTTAGAAAAAAATGTTTATTTCTTTACACACGACTATCGAGAACAAGTAAGTCAAACTAAATACTTAACCTTTCAATCGTGGTCTTTCGAGGCACAATAGAAGAACAATATATGCGCGAACGCTTGGTGTTTGATGAATTAATTGCAATTGTGTGAATAGTAAAAACATAAAATGACTAAACTTTTATTGTTTCAATGTTACCGCTAAAATTTAAATCGACAAGAACGACGGAAACTTAACTGATGGTTTCAGAAAATTGATGTAACCAAAGTTCTTATGTTTTCACAGGTCTCAAATGAAGGTAACAGTCGAGAAAACCGCAAAGAAGGGGACATGGCTTTGGCTTTGGCAAATTATCTGATGAACCAAGGCTTTTCATCTGAAGATATCACAATTCTTGCAGCTTATTCAGGACAAAAGTTTTACATGAAAAAAGTATTTATCTCATTTTCTACTTAAATGAATCAAGTTATTGTTTAACACAACCCTTATTGGTTGATTTTCAGGTTTTTATTATTATTTTGCAGTGAAAAAAGTTGTAGGGTTGGTTTAGTTATTATTTATGCGTTCTCGCATGGGACAACTCTTTGTGTGATCATCATATTATTATTGTTCACTTCGGGCTTGGGTGTTTAGCTTATTTTTGTAAACGCAACCAACGGCAACGCAATAACGTACGAAACCGAACAAATTCTAGGGTCGATATTTTACTATTTTATATTATAAAACCTTACTTTAACGTAAACTACATTATTTATTCTATTATAAAAATAACGAAAATTACATCTTGCAGGAACGCCAAAAATATGCAAGTTTATCACGAGTCAAAATAATAGTGGTCGATAATTATCAAGGCGAGGAATCTAGAATAATAATCTTGTCGCTTGTAAGAAACAACCCTGACAACCAAATTGGATTTCTTGGAATAGAGAACAGAGTTTGCGTGGCTCTTTCGCGGGCAAAAGAAGGTTAGCCAGTGATATTTCTACCTATATAGGTACTTACGATAGATCATTTATTTGTATACCTGCGTATCGACTTAGGAACGCTTGCAATAGGTACCAGAACTATTTCGTCTCCCTTGTATTCTGTTGGATCGTGTTATTATTTGAAAAAGAGGGCTCTCAAAATTGACGGCGCAATCAAACAGTGTCCGAAACGTTGTGTACGTCACCTCGCCACATCACCTACCTACTCCCTCCATTGAACCGACTCATTTAAACTGGATCAGCTCTCTACGACTGTATTAAGTACACAAGTACCATGTAAAATGTATCATCCCGTCTGCATAAAATAACTATATCAATTTTCAGGTTTTTATATCTTTGGAAATATGAATATGCTGAAAGCAAAATCTGAATTGTGGAGGAAAATTGCAAACACTCTGGAAAAAAACGAATCTTTGGGATCGCAGCTGATACTGAAATGCCAAAATCATCCTGAGCAAATAATAAAGGCAAGTACTCTTATGTTTCTTCACGCCGTACCCTACCAAGCTGTGATTGGAAAATGTGACTGATGTCAGTTACAGACGGGGCCCTATAGGGCTGATGTTCAGCCGGGGTTGCGGGTTAAGGGCAATGAATCACCGCGGCCTCGGCTCAGAGCAGGAGAAGGAACGGGAGTGTCAGACTCTTACTGACTAAACCCCCCCGGTTTAGTCATATACGGAATATTTCTTTATTATATTACCTATAATACATATACGTTACAACCTGCGGAATAAATATATAGCGCAATAAATTGTACCTAAACATAATGCGAGAAAAAAATTGAGCGTGACAAAGGAGAAAAAGATTGATTATTAGTTACCTCTAAGGTTTTAGGTTAATGTTTTTGGAGTCTGGCTTAAATTTAAATCCTTACACGTATGTAGTCTACGTGGGGTGCTAGTGAGGTGTCGTTATGATCGGACTCATGCTCTGTGGGTGAGCATTTACACGTGTCTCCCAAGTAGCCCAGCCGTGTCCGTCAGTCTATCTTTGCAGCCGCAGGTTGACCAGTCTGGTGGGTAGCGGATATTAAGGGCACAATGTGTCACACCTTGTCTACGAAATCAACTACGCCTTGTCGGTGTGATTGATATACACATTGGTGCACACAGTGGTAAAATAGTAGTACCTAGTAGGGAGTGTTTTTTTTTTATTTCAACCCTAACGTGTGATATGTTCTTAGATAGGTATTTAAAAATGAATAGGGGTTTAATATGATCGTGTTTTTATAATGTTAATATTTTCGGAAATAATCGCTCCAAAAGTTTATAAGGTTAGAAAATACGGAAAAAATCTTTATCATAACTTACTTATTGTGACAGCCATAGGACGTCCACTGCTGAACATAGACCTTCCCCATTGACTTCCAGATAGGCCGGTTGAAAGGGACCTGCATCCAGCGGCTTCCTGCGACCTTAATCAAGTCCTCTGTCCACCTTGCAAGCGCAGCGTAGGACGTCCACCCGACGTCCTACGCTGCGCTTGCCGGTACGTGGCCTCCACTCGAGAACCTTTCTGCCCCAGCGGCCGTCGGTTCTACGCGCAATGTGCCCTGCCCAATTTAACTTGCTTATCCACTGAGTTATGTCGGCAACTTTTGTTAGTTTGCGGACATCCTCGTTTATCATTCGGTCTCGCAAAGAAACTCCGAGCATAGCCCTTTCCATAGAGCGCTGAGCGACCTTAAGCTTCTTTATAAGGCCCACAGTGAGAGACCACGTTTTAGTTCCATATTAGATCATCGCTACACCGAACGCTGCCCATCCAAGATTGATTCGACGATTGACTTCCTTCTCGAAATTGGACCTACCTAGCTGGATCACTTCATCACTTGTCCCAGGTATATATTATATTCGTAACAATTTCGAGGTAAGAGCTCCCAACTGATATCGGATAGGGCGTGACATGGGCGTTTGACATGACTTTCGTCTTGTCCATGTTCATTCAGAGCCCTACCTGTTGAGAAACTCTACAGAGGTCATCGAGCATTGTGCTCAGATCCTCCAGCGATTCTGCCATGACCACAATGTCGTCGGCAAACCGGAGGCGAGTGATGTACTCGCCGTTGATTTTGTTGCCAGCTCCTTTGCATTCCAAGAGCTTGAAGGCGTCTTCCAATGTAGCGGTAAACAGTTTCGGAGATATGACGTCTCCTTGCTTTACACCTCGCTGCAGAGGAACATCCTTCGTGCTCTAGTTCTGTACTTGGACTGACATAGTGGCGTTTGTGTACAAGCACTTCAAAAACTTCGATGTACCGAAAGTCAATATGGCACCGCTGGAGAGATCTTGACACTGCCCAAATCTCGATCGAATCAAAGGCCTTCTCATAGTCCACAAACGCCAAGCATAGTGGCAAGCTATACTCCTCGGTCTTCTGTATAACTTGTCGCAGCTTATGGATGTGGTCTATGGTACTATAGCCTTTCCGGAAACTGGCTTGTTCGGGAGGCTGGACGTCATCGAACCTACTTGTGAGACGATTTGTAATGACCCTCGAAAATAGCTTGTTAACATGGCTCAGAAGTGAGATGGGTCTATAATTTTTCAGTAATGTTATCTCCCTTCTTGAAGAACAGCACCACCACACTTCTGCTCCATGCCGCCGGTTGCTCCTTCAAATATGACAGAGTTGAAGAGCTCCTAAAGGACCCTCAGTACCGGCGTTCCGCCCGCTTTCATTAGCTCTGATATGATTCCGTCCTCGCCCGGCGCCATGTTGTTCTTGAGCTGCTTGAGGGCCATTCTAATCTCGTATAGGTTGATGTCCGGGATATCCTCGGTATATTGTCGGGTGAGTTTAGCTCTTGGATCGGCGACTGAGCTAACAGGTCTAGTGACCGATGTGTATAGCTGTCCATAAAACCTCTCGATCTCACCCAAAACTTCGGCCTTCGTCGACGCTACACTGCCATCCTCCGCCTTCAGCTTCGTCAGCTGTGTTAGCCTAATAGATATATCTATATATATATTTTCTAAATTATCAAAAAAGTCGATACTTCACGAAAATGTCACGCAGCATCGTTCAACCAGCTTAAAGCGTGCGCAGTACACACAATGAACATAATCCTCATTTGGAGCATGCTCTTATTAGGGTTTGTAATCCTCCATGCACACCCGTAGAATTTTGTCATTTGTAAAATAAAATAAATTAGAAAGTTTTTATTATCTTTCCTTACACACGGGGATAATTGATACGGCAAATATTGCGGTAGCTACGCCTCGCTAAAAGTACGCTAAAATATCAGTATTCGACTGTGGTAGGTAGTATGGTGGAAGACACGATACTCAGCAGCCACTGCACCAAGCGTGCTGTTTTACAGTAATTACGTACATTCATAAAATGCCTATTATTTACATGTATTTATTGTCAAAAATATTTAAATTTTTGACTTGATCACGACTATGTGATACCTCCTGGTGCCAAAGTTGGCCCTTGACCTAACAATTACAAATTATAGCAGTTTGTCGCTATATTTGCAGGTTTCTACACTGGAAGATTTTGAAAAATTACCCCCGGAAGGAGGATGTTACGAAAAATGTAATTTTATTTATCCTTGTGGCCATAAGTGTCAATTTTACTGCCACGGGTACGACCGCCAACATGTTGAAACGAAATGTACTATGAAGTGTGAAAGGCAAGTACTTATCATAATCATTATATAATTTAAGTACCTCTGTTAGTGATACAGCTTTTTCAATGCACGTTGGCGTGCTGCATGCTGTTAGCGTAGCATGATCGGCGGCTGCGATCTCCCGATACCGTTTTTTAATAAATTATTACCCTGGGCAAAATGAAACAATGTTTCAGTGATGTTTTTATAGTTTAGTCGAATTTATAATAATTATAATAATTTAAAATAAAAATGTGAATTCTAAGATAAAAAGACAAAGCCAAATAAGATTGCACGAAAAGAGAAGAGTAGGGTAGAGTAATTTGAGATGGCTAGTACATAATACATTTAAGAAGTGCTCCCATTATTCAATATGCAACACTATTTATACATATATTTTTCATGTAATAGGTCGGCAAAGAGTAGACCTGATGGTAAGCATTCAGCGCCGCCCATGGACACCCGCGCCGGAGGTGTTACTCGTTGCCGACCTTTTAGGTTTTGGAGATTTAGGGATTGGGAGGGATCGAGGGAGGGGAAGGATTGGGCCTCCGGTAACCTCACTCATACTGCGAAACAAAAGGCTGTGGTTGTTTCACGCCGGTTTTCTGAGAGGCCATGGTATCACTCCGGTCGAGCCGAGAGAAATGTTTTTAAGGGGCAAAAAAGGTACAATCTAGCAATGTTCAAACTTAAAACTACTGGAAGCTGCTTATTAGTGCCTACCGTTTTTTAAAACTTATATAATCTTAACGCTAGGTACCATGTCTATATAATACAAGAAATAGCTCTGTTTGCTAAGGGAACCCAAGGCGCTTTAGACGTCTAGCTAATGTGACGTCTAAGCTGATGTACTCCGCCCCTAAGACGACCCCCTGACCGATGTAGTTTTACGAACAGACGCGATAGCAGCGTGCTGTGTTTGCAGTCACTCAAAACTGCACTTTCGAGCAAGATTGTCTTTTGCTCCAAAAATGTTTAAAAAAAACAAAAACTTATCTAAGCGTAGCTTTTTAGTATTGAAATTGGTATTGAGTTATATTGTTATTAAGTTATTAATCTGTACTCAGCAGTATGTATTTTGTTGTAGATTTAATATAATTTAACTTATCGAACAATGTTTGTATATTTTGCATGCCCAATTGCAAAGTATGGCTGTGCTTGTTAAATAATTTGTCATCTTGATTGTTACCCATATTTGCAAAATAAATATATCTTTATGTTTGGTTGAATGAATTCGTGAATAACGTATCCAAGCAGAAGTTTTCCTATATTACCTGGAAACTGAAAGGTTTGACTTTAGAAGTTGACTAGATTAGACTAGACAAGACAAATATCTTTTTGCCTGCTGAAAAAAGATATTCGGAAATGTAAATAGAGTAAAGGAAACTTAATGACACGAGTGAAATTGGTGATGCATGAATAAGTTAATAAAAGAGGGTGTACAAATTGCAACTGCTTTTGAAAATTTCTTTTACGACATTCCTGTATCCACTACTAAGTCACTAAATTCAACACCCACTGTTGCAGAGTCTTTACTCTAATAACATGTTGTAGCTTGCGATTCAGGGTTTTCCTTCGAGCACATAGATAACAAAGACATTGTTAAAATCTTTAATACTTTGAATAAGTAACAAAAAGACTGCAGATTGGGGTCTGCTTGGGCTGAGCACCGCCGTGTTCTCAGGGAAGTGATCGGCGGCGGCGACCTCTCGCGCCCGGCCTTAATCGAGGCCATGGTGCAGCGTGAGAGGAACTGGGAAGCTATCTCCTCCTTCTGCGAAGCAGTTATGCTCGCAAAGGAGGGCGGAGCGCGCGAGGGAACTATCCTCCTCGCGCCCCAGCCGCCGCAGAAGGCGACATTCCGGGCGTCGGGGATCGAGAGATGATCTCCGGCCACCGTAAACCTTACCGTAAGGGCAGCTCGCCGCCCGACCAGAACCAGGCCCGAGCGTACGGCTCGTAGCGTTCCGCGCGCGCCTCAAAGAGCCATTCGACCACCACAGACGGGGCCCTAAAGGGCTGATGTTCAGCCGGGGTTGCGGGGTAAGCTCAATGAGGTACCGCGACCTCGGTACAGAGCAGGAGAAGGAACAGGGGGGTTTTTAGTCAGTAAGAGTCTGACTCTCCCTCCTGCCCGGCCCTGGGCGGGAGAAGTCATTTGATGATTTTCCCCTCACAAAAAAAAAACGGTTAACGTACATTATGTTATTTTATACATTGTCTGGACTTGAAAAGAGATTGACCTCTGAGTTTGTTTCGGCATTTCTTCTCATAGTAGTCAGATAGGAAATGCCGGCTTCATCTCGTTTTTTACCTATAGATTGACGTGTAAAAGTGCCGTTTTATGGCCTATTTGCAAAAATATATTGTTTCACAAATCATGATACGGTAGGTAGTATTTATTGTGTTAAAGCCTCGGTGCATGTGTAGGTATTTGATACGTTATTTTAATACTAGAAATATAAATTTCATTGTCTGTGTGTCATTACTTAGTTAAATTCTCTGAGATTAAGACGTATTTCTGCTCCTGCTTTTAACAACATAATTACATATAAACTAGTTGTAATAAATAATGTACAACAACACCTGGATCCATGAAGTATTCACAGAATATAATTATGTAGGCACCTTTAATGGGGCTCTGAGTTTAAAAAGTTCTTATTTAACTGGGAATTGACAGGTGCCTATAATACGACTATAGTAATTATTTAAAAAATGCGTCCGAGTTAAAATAAATTCGTAGGTACCGCGTTTTCCTGGATACTTTCTTTTCTTACCTTTTATGAAACGACCTTGACCTTGATAATTTATTATCTATTTATGGTTCCAATTTATTTCCCCATGGGATTATAAAAATTTACAAAATTTTTGTTAAAGAGTATGCGAGGTGGGCCATGTTTGTCCACTGAAATGTAGTCAAGAATGTGCACCATGCAAAATTTTGGTAATGAAAACCCTGCCATGTGGCCACGAAATGAGGGTTTTATGCCATCGCGATCCTGAAGACCCCCTAAACCGATGCTTGACGCAAATTGACGTTGTGCTACCGGATTGTCAACATAAGGTAACTTATGTCTTGAAAATATATATATCTTTGCATAACGCTGTCATACTATATTACGTGTGAAACAAACATAATATTATAAGTTTTTGAATTAGATAATAATGTTTCTTTTATTCCCATCGCAAGGAAAGGCAGATTTTTTTAACGACCTTAAAACTATAATATACCCACCATTAACTATTTTAAATTTATGGGTGGATTTGCATAACAGCTTAAGTAAGTATGTAATATAATATTTTCAGGCAAAGATTGATTGTTACAAGGATATAAGTAAAGTGAAATGTATGGAGCCTTGTAAGTATCGTTTGGAGAAGTGCGGCCATGTCTGCGGTCGCAAATGTCATGTTATTGATGATCCGAAACATGAGACTGTGAGTTATGCTTCATATATAGTTAGAAAGTAAAATAAACTTAGGTCTTAACTTCGTGAACGAATCGAATGATAAAAAATACACAAACGTCGATATGACAGAATGCAGAAAACAAAAGAATATTTGAAAAATACTATTAAATGAAATAGATATCATTACTTTCAGTACGTTTGCAAAAAACCATGTGCTCGTGCAAAAGAGGGATGCACAGCGAAACTAATGGGAGACCGTGGCCTTCATCAGTGCCAAAAGAAATGTTACGAAACATGTGACGGTTGTACAGTTACAGTGAGTATCCCGCTGGTTGATAGGTACAGTGTGCAGACCCCGACTCCATTTTCTCCAAATATATTTTAAAATGAATTCTGTAATTTGTATAGATTTCACTTATACAGGGTGTAAAAAGACACTTAACGAAGCCGAAAGCCACCCATTATTTGGATATTTTTTTCTTTAAGACCATAGCTGGGACTCCACGGGTTCTCGAGATATTGAAGGTCAAAGATGCATTTTTAATTTTTTTTGCGCAGTCGAATTCTAAGTACCTATTGTTACAAAACTTTTTTCCAAACAAACATTACCAGAATTTTCGATTTTTCTAAATAAATTACGCATTTGAAGTTACGAATAGTAATGTACGTAATAAATAAATGCAGACCCGCACAAAAACCATCGTGCATCGCAGTAGGATTTTTATTTTACAGAATTATTTTGTTGTTGCGAAGTAAAACGTCGACCTACGTACTTATCACAGCGTTTTCATGCTAAGCTGTGAACCTACGCACACAATGACACGAAGCCCGTTTGCTTTACATTGCGCGCAATAAAATTATTATTTTTTTTGATACCTAAAAGTCGTTTCCCAGTGATAATTTTAGCGTAAAGCTACTTAGTTAGAACTGCACTATGCGTAGTTAACGGCTTCGTTAAGTGTCTTTTTACACCCTGTATATTTAAATTAATCGATGCAAATAAATTGTTGTGTATAATTTAGTTTTATTAAATATTGTTGTACAGGTTAACAAAAAGAGGTCAACTTGTAAGCATGCTGAAGTTGTACCGTGCAACGTCGATATTGACAAAAGTCCGTGCCCTAAGAAATGCGCACGGACAATGACATGTGGACATCACTGCCTTAAGATTTGTTTCGAAGAATGCGGAGACTGTAATCAAATGGTACGCCACTTGGACACCACTTGGCGCATTTTTACATCCATACACATGTAAACACGCGCATGTACATATATGTTTATTATTAACTAGCTACTCTCGCGCTGTTTTATAGCCTATAGCACCCAGGAACATTCTAGCTATCTATCAGTAAAGAATTTTGGCAATCCGACCAGCACTTCCAAGGATTACCGCCTACATACAAACTTACAAACATACAAACTTACAAACATACAAACTTACAAACTTACAAACATACAAACTTAAAATTTTAATATTTTTTTAGCATAGATTTTACTAAATTATGAATTACCTACTACAATACTTTCATTTAAGGTCTGGAAAGAAATTCCGGATTGCAGACATAAAGTAAAGGTGCGGTGTACGATTAGTGTAAGTCGAGACGTTTGCACGGAGACGTGCAACCGCGTACTTTCCTGTGGGCATCCGTGCACTGACAGGTGCGCCGTTCCATGCGACATTACGAAGTGCACTGCGATTACAGCTACAGAGGTGCCCTCTCCCTGTGGCCACAACGTCAAACTCCCGTGCAATACCTTACAATGGCATCTAAAACGTAAGTAATTAAATTTATATAAAACTAGCGGCCCGCCCCCCGCTTCGCACGGGTCCAACTATCTCGCTTTTCACGGGTCACTTTTTCCTAAACTTCCCCTCTAATTTTCTAATACTTTCTTTCATAAAAACCTTCTCCTGACAATAACAAACACAACAAAAAAGTTATTAGCATTATAAAATTGGTCCAGGCGTTGTTGAGTTATGCGCTTACCAACACATTTTGCGATTCATTTTTATACAGGGTGTAAGGGACAGCCCTCCACAAATTAACAGGGTGCATTCAGCTCCTTATTCTGAATCATATTCCAGTGAAAATTCTTTCAGGAAAATTTTCATTTTTTTTTTCGTTTTTTCAGTTCCTACACCTCTATTTCAATGTATAATTACATTCTATGTATGAAGAATAACATTAATGTAAATAACACAGCTAAAACAAAAAAATACGCAATGGTTGTGTGAATTCTCTAAAGAACTACGCATGAAATCAGCTGTTCAATTTCTACCTAGCGCGAGTCGTTTGAACTCACCGCACCGCGGTCACGGCGGGTTCACATAAATTGAATAAGAAATAAATAAAGATTAGTCTAGTTTAACAAATACTACCTAATTTATTAATTGATTGTTCTTTTTAAGCGATTACTGGCTAGTTTTTAAACTACTTACAGATTTTTACATGGCTTCACAATAGCCATGAATTGATAGTCGAGCCAGAAATTAAACACAATCTCCCTGGAATGGAAGCACAGCTTTCTATCACACTGCACTTTTATTATTCTAAATTAACTAAACAATGAAATTAGAATTAAATTGATTTAATCAATTCATTTCTCTACAAAAAATAACAGAATGATAAATTACGACCATGCATAATTTTTTATTTTTTACCCCGAAATTTTGTAATTTTCGTGTAATTGGCAACAACAGATTTATGTTTGTGTGTGTCTCATCACATGCAGTCGCCATTGTGCCTTGCTGCGATGTTATTGTTTGTGTACCGCGAGCGTGTGTCGGCACGGATCGCTCGCGCATTCGGCTTAAAAGTTTTGTTTTATGTAGTGTTGTTAAGTTTTATTAGTTATGTAGTGTGTGAAGTGTAGTGAAGTTTTGTTGTAGAAATTGTGCGAAATTACTACATAGGTACGTTTAGCGCGCGTGATTATGGGGAGATGATAATGTGTTGTAGTAGTGTAGGTATCCTGACCGTCGGCATCCATCAGACTCCAGGATAATTACTGGTGACTATCAACGCTTGCTAGAAAACCAGCCCATTGTTCCCAGACAAAAAGACGCCGGAAGACCAATACCTACGTGGATTTTGGAATTGGTTCGCTAACGTAACGAGACGCTACCACTTACCAGTGCTTTCCTATTTAAACGTAGTTTAGGTAGGTTTGGACCGCAACCGTGGCCAGCACGATCCCCAGACCTAACCCATTTGGACCCCTTTTTGTGGGGTTACGTAAAAGAAAAAGTGTTTGTGAGTGCGTGTGCAAGTGAGTACGAAATGCGAGACCGCATCACAAATGCTTTCCAGAGCCGGAAACCGGAGCGATTCTAAGGTACCTACGCATTTTTCTTTTTTTATCATTTATCAGTTACCATTTTATGATTGTTAGATTTTTTTTTGTAAGTAATGCAGCTATCTTTTAAATAATAATTTATTGTTATTAAAACGTGGCGCGAGCGCGATTATTACATTGTCTTTTGTAAGTAATGCGGCTATCTTTTTAATAATAATTTATTGTTAATAATTCATTACCTTACACGCAATGTATCGCTACCACCGCAAACGCACGCAGCGAACGGCAGCGCTTTTAGTATTATTACTTTACACTATGGGCAGCGCCGCGACCTTACGTTCAGACAAACGGTCGCGCTCGCGCCACGTTTTAATAACAATAAATTATTATTTTAAAAGATAGCTGCATTACTTACAAAAAAAATCTAACAATCATAACATGGTAACTGATAAATGATAAAAAAAGAAAAATGCGTAGGTACCTTAGAATCGCTCCGGTTTCCGGCTCTGGAAAGCATTTGTGATGCGGTCTCGCATTTCGTACTCACTTGCACACGCACTCACAAACACTTTTTCTTTTACGTAACCCCACAAAAAGGGGTCCAAATGGGTTAGGTCTGGGGATCGTGCTGGCCACGGTTGCGGTCGAAACCTACCTAAACTACGTTTAAATAGGAAAGCACTGGTAAGTGGTAGCGTCTCGTTACGTTAGCGAACCAGTTCCAAAATCCACGTAGGTATTGGTCTTCCGGCGCCTTTTTTTTTTGCGAACAATGGGCTGGTTTTCTAGCAAGCGTTGATAGGCACCAGTAATTATCCTGGAGTCTGATGGATGCCGATGGTCAGGATACCTACACTGCTACACATTATCATCTTCCCATAATCTCGCGCGCTGAACGTACCTAGGTAGTAATTTCGCACAATTTCTACAACAAAACTTCACTACACTTCCTATAACTAATAAAACTTAACAACACTACTTACAACAAAACTTTTAAGCCGAATGCGCGAGGGATCCGTACCGACACACGCTCGCGGTACACAAACAGTACCTACATCGCAGCAAGGCACAATGGCGACTGCATGTGATGAGACACACACAAACATAAATCTGTTGTTGCCAATTACACGCAAATTACAAAATTTCGGGGAAAAAAATAAAAAAATATGCATGGTCGTAAATTATCATTCTGTTATTTTTTGTAGAGAAATGAATTAATTTAAATCAATTTAATTCCAATTTCATTGTTTAGTAAATTTAGAATAATAAAAGTGCAGTGTGATAGAAAGCTGTGCTTCCGTTCCAGGGAGATTGTGTTTAATTTCTGGCTCGACTATCAATTCATGGCTATTGTGAAGCCATGTAAAATCTGTAAGTAGTTTAAAAACTAGCCAGTAATCGCTTGAAAAGAACAATCAATTAATAAATTAGGTAGTATTATTAAATGCTTTAAAATTAAAACTAGACTAATCTTTATTTATTTTTTATTCAATTTATGTGCGCGACAAGATTTTCATGAATTGATTAATGAAAATCTCTCCAATGTAATTATGAATGCAAAGGAGTTCTCAAGTTTTAGATAAATTTCGATAGTTCTAACATTTTCGTTTACTACCTGAGGTAACAAAATCAATCTGGGAAACGTGGAGGCCGGGCGACAGAAAGGGACGCAGCTATTCTGTACGTTGGACGGGATCGTAGGTACCTACGGCGCGGCGATCGGCGCGGTGGGCGCCGTGGCCGCTGCGCCGTGACCGCGGCGCGGTGAGTTCAAACGACTCTAGCTAGGTAATTGAACAGCTGATTTCATGCGTAGTTCTTTAGAGAATTCACACAACCATTGCGTATTTTTTTGTTTTAGCTGTGTTATTTACATTAATGTTATTCTACATACAGAGAATGTAATTATACATTGAAATAGAGGTGTAGGAACTGGAAAAACGAAAAAAAAATTGAAAATTGTCCTGAAAGAATTTTCACTGGAATATGATTCAGAATAAGGAGCTGATTGCACCCTGTTAATTTGTGGAGGGCTGTCCCTTACAACCTGTATATAATTAATAGATATTATACGGGCACGTGGTACAGGGACACGCGGCAAATACTTGTCAGTTTTCCGTTGGTCCTAAAACACTAATGCGGCTAAATTAAAAAATGACTTTTTACAATGAAAGGACCATTCATAATATTAACTACATAAACGTACAATAAATTATATATTTAAATGAAGGTTTCATTTAAACAAAAGAAGTTTTTCATTGATTACTTTAATTTAGTTGTTATAGTAACACTATTGAAAATTGTAAACAAATGTACTTATTTGGTAGTACGTAGTACCTAGAACAAAGATTTCGTTTATTGGTAATAGCCTGACGATGTAAATATTTGCACTCGGTCAGACGGGACGGCGCCACCGGAGAGTGCAGTGCTGGCCGCGTGCAGCGCGGCGTGCGGCGGCGAGCTGGCGTGCGGACACGTCTGCGCAGGCAGCTGCGCGCTCTGCCGGCGCGGCGCCCTGCACGCGCCCTGCGCGCAGCGCTGCCACCAGGACAACATCTGCGGTCACACGTAACACGCCATATCTACCACACACACACACCACCTCAGCAGGCTATAAGTTCCGTCGCGGCGCCCTGCGCGCAGCGCTGCCACCAGGACAACATCTGCGGTCACACGTAACACGCCATATCTACCACACACACACACCACCTCAGCAGGCTATAAGTTCCGGCGCGGCGCCCTGCGCGCAGCGCTGCCACCAGGACAACATCTGCGGTCACACGTAACACGCCATATCTACCACACACACACACCACCTCAGCAGGCTATAAGTTCCGTCGCGGCGCCCTGCGCGCAGCGCTGCCACCAGGACAACATCTGCGGTCACACGTAACACGCCATATCTACCACACACACACACCACCTCAGCAGGCTATAAGTTCCGTCGCGGCGCCCTGCGCGCAGCGCTGCCACCAGGACAACATCTGCGGTCACACGTAACACGCCATATCTACCACACACACACACCACCTCAGCAGGCTATAAGTTCCGTCGCGGCGCCCTGCGCGCAGCGCTGCCACCAGGACAACATCTGCGGTCACACGTAACACGCCATATCTACCACACACACACACCACCTCAGCAGGCTATAAGTTCCGTCGCGGCGCCCTGCGCGCAGCGCTGCCACCAGGACAACATCTGCGGACACACGTAACACGCCATATCTACCACACACACACATCACCTCAGCAGGCTATAAGTTCCGTCGCAGCGCCGGGCTGAGTACCGCCGTGTCTCAGGGAAGTGATCGGCGGCCCGGCTCTAGTTGAGACCGTGATGTGAAGCGAAAGGAACTGGGAAGCCAAGCTACGCCTTCTACAAAGCAATCATGTTCGTGAAGAAGGAGGCATAGCGTTTTTTGGAACACTTCTTCTAACTTCCTAGTCACCGCAGCAAACACCCTGGGCGTCAGGGATCGCGCGACGATCTCCGACCTCCATAAGCTCATTAAGGGCCTATTGCCTCCCGTACAGCGGTCATTGCGAGCGCAGATGCATTATACTTTAAACTTTGACGTTGCTTATTAATACTTTACTGTTCAACGGAATTTGTCAAAAAAAAAACGTAACATTTTCGTTTGTTATTTGCTTGACGTTTCGGCAGGGTTACACCTGCCATGGTAACAAGCGGACTGTTCGGCGGTGCTACTCCGACGATGAAGATCTTCATCTACTCTCGATGTTGATAAATTCTAATGTCCACTGTAAAACGCGTACACACCACACTAACTGTGTCTGATCTTTAATGCCCGGTTCCTATATTTAACGAATCGTCATTGTATACGCATTACGACCAAATGACATTACGAATAGTTATCTTGACCGTCTACTGACGGTTAAAATATTTATAGGAAAACCACAGACACCATAGATCTCCATACAATTCGCTTACCGATATCCGTTAGTTGCAAACCGTCAGTAAGTTGCACGACGAGACGTTTATTATAGGAACGGTTTTAGCTTACGAGTCGTATATAAAACTACTATTCGTAATTAAAACGGATCGTTTCTCAATTATAGGAACCGGGCGTTAGTCGACTTAAATCGCGATGCTGAATTTTTGCAATCACTGGATTCTATGTGGTCGACAGTTTGAATTCTTCTTCCCGATTGAAATTCTTTTGTTTTTTAATCTTAAGCACTTCACGCACCATTCTTGAGTGAAAATGGCGATCAGTAGAGAGGACTTGTGAACGATAATCAGTTAATCAATAAATGAACCATCTTAACTCCATACAAATTGGTCTGAACAGATCATACTCCGGACAGATCGTTGTCATTCTTGGACGTACCTTTACATCCTTTGAAATCAGATGGAACTTTGTCTGACTGGGTGTAGGTACCGCTAGCCGACACACACTGACAGATACCTGCATGCTACGTTGCGTCATCCAAGCCACTTGCTTGCCGTTCAGACTTCATTAAAGACCAGAGCATATGATGTCAGTGACCCTGAACATTAGGGGCAGAAGCTATACCATGTTCAAGAGATACTCAAGAAAAACGGATACAAAGTGAGTGGAAGATTGAAGTCAACTAAGAAGAACAGACATCTCGAGGTGAAGAGACAGTCAGTTTACTTGCCATATGTAATGGGTTAACAATATTCACACCTATATAAGCCGGGGGTAAAAGCCACAAACCTAGTTGGTACACCGAAGGATGTTGTACCGTTGCAGACACTATATAGGTAGTGTTTACAAGATTGACTGCAGTAGTGATCTTTCATACATCTGTACATCTTACGAAAAGCTCAAAGAGCGTATCGCAGGTGTAAAAAATCGTCTGACGAATTAATCAGCGATTGCAGAACACATACTGGGACCAAGCAGCAATTATTGGTGCGTGATGCGATTGGAATGAAAAACACAAGAGTTTCAATCAAAAGAAGGATTCAAACTGTTGGCCACATGGAATCGGGATTCAGTGATAGCAAAAATTCAGCATCGCGATTTTAAGTCTACTAAAGGGACGGACATAGTGTAGTGTTTACGCGGCTTTATAGGGGGCATTTATTGACATCGAGGGTAGGTGAAGATCAATCCGGTGTCTGGACAACTGACTGCCGTGCAACGTGTCGCGGGTTCGATTCCCGCACGGAACAATTCTTTGTCTGATCCACAAATAGTTGTTCCGAGTCTGGGTTTGACGTGTAGGTGAAATTGGGAGTCTTAAGCCTGTTGCTACCACAGGTAGTACCTATGAAAAGTTTAGCCTTACTCTTTATTTTTAGATGCCAGGAGCCCTGCAACCAAATTTGCCCGCCATGCAAAATGCCCTGTGAAGTAAAGTGCGCGCACTCAATGTGCATGAAGTTGTGCAGCGAACCATGCACTCCTTGTGAGGTGGTTAATAGTTGGCATCGTATTACGTGGCTGATAGTGCGCTGTGCTGTGGATAACAAGGTCGTGTGTCGCAGGAGGCGTGCGGGCGGCGCTGTGTACACGGGCGGTGCACGCGGCGCTGCGGCGAGGAGTGCGAGCGCGCCGCGTGCCTCGAGCGCTGCCCGCTCCGGCTGCCTTGCGGCCATATGTGCCGCGGCTTATGTGGGGAGCCCTGCCCCGACATCTGTCAAATCTGTCGCCCTGAGCAATTTCCTACTGACTTCTTGGGTGATCCTTATGGAGATAACGACAAGTAACTTTTACTTCATAGTACAGATTTCGCTTTAAGCTTAGAAGTATCGATTTTCCAATATGTAAGTTTGATAATCGCGGAACCGTCTGCATTCAAAGTCAATTTATTGCAACAAGACCATAAATAGGTACTTTTGAAACGTCAAAATAGAATATTAGGGTGTCATTCTGTTTGTCAGTGAAGCTAGGTGTTCGTTAAAAAATGTAGATTCGAATGGAGAAGAACGAGCCAGAAACTCCATCATTTCTTTAAAAAAAAATATTAGTTTTACAATATCACTAATATAACATTTAGTACTTATACATTATTGTACCTACCCTTATGTGAGAACAATGCAGAGGCATGTTGTAAAAAAAAGAACAAATGATGGGATCTATCATAAAATTTGAATCCTTTCTCGTCTCGAACATGGCGCTCACATGCGTACCTACTGACAATTAAAAGAATGCTGATGAAACTATGGATATACCTATGTATAAATTAAATATTCGTTAGTTTTGAGAATTTTAATAACTACTGACTATATTTGAGTATTGTCAAGTGGAGCCGAATCAACACGCTGCCAGGTATTTTTAATCTCCAAAACCCTAATCCCTAAAAGGTCGGCAACGCACACGCAACTTCTCCGTTGCGGGTGTCCATAGGCGGCGCTGATTGCTACCATCAGGTAATCCGTCTGTTCGTTTGCCGACCTATTACATAAAAAAAGTTTTAAATTTTCGTTCATTAACATTAATTTGATATACTTACCTACTACTTGGTATTTTATTGTAAAAATTTATACAGAAACTCATAAAGGATTTATGTACTTTGGACAGACAGAATCGTAGCACAGCTAACCTATCTTTGCCTCTATACTCGGAATTTCAATTCCATTCCAGATTTGACAATTTCAGTGTTGCAACGTTATGACACGTACTAAATAGTGACGTTGCGAAATTATTCGATATGGAAGTCGAATATTTCGGAATCGATTCCTCTTGTTTATAAATTTACTCTCGTAAACTAAGTTTATCAGGAAATAGAATATTTCTGAACCGATAGTTTTGTAATTGTGTGTGAAATTAATATGAAAATGTGATCATGAAGGAACATGACAAATAAAACAGACATTTTATAAATTGTGTGTGCTGTTACTTTCTGTAACATTTATTATGAATTGTGTCTGTGATATTTATTGTCAATAAACATATCTAGCTTACTCATTTTTTCCTCTTCTTTGACAACATGGGATACGCATTTAGACCATTCGGAAACCGTAATTTTTTGAATGTCTTCCTCAAACTGATTCACTGATTGTTTATCGATTTTTGTGTTCATCACTACACTGTTATATGTGGTATCATTATTTAACAAAATGATAGTAGGTCATGTCAAATCAGGAATCGAATTAAAATTCTGACTTTAGTATTAAAATTATGCCTGTCGCTTCTTTTTTCTAATAATTTCAAATTTTTCCTAACTTTACCTACGTAATATTTTCATATATAAACTGACAAGGCCCGTTAGGATAATTATCGTTTTAAATAGTTCTCTCCGAGATTGAGAGCCTCCTACTTCTTGGAAAGTAGCTTAAAATGTATAATAATATTTTGCTTCATAGCGGGAATAATAACCTCGAAAGTCTATACTTACATGTACCTATAATAGGTACGGATATGGAATACTTCTCCATTACCAATACGGGCTGCATACTCTTAATAACTGCGTGCTTATTTAGTTTTTTAAGCGCATGTTATACCTAGGTACCTCATTAGATTAGACGTATCTATCTACCTACCAGTAACTCCGTTCCACCGAAACTAAAAATACTTGTGTACTTAAATCACGCATTTTTCCAGGTTTATTTTACTCGAAGATTGTGGTCATGTTCTGGAAATCGACGACATGGATAGTTTGATGCTGGGTGATCAAGAAAATATTAAAATACGTACTTGCCCATTTTGTCGGAAACCAATAATTAATACCAAAAGATACAAAGATATAGTGAACAAAAGGTTTAAAGAAGACATAAATCCTATTAAGCTTCGTGTTTATGGAAGAAATGAAATAATTTCAGCCAAAATTACAGAACTGCATGGTAAAATGGAAAAATACAAGAAACATACTTTCGGTAAGTTCCTATTCCCACTATTTTCACCTAGGTATCAAACATCACCCGAGCGTAGCGTAGCGTTCCGCGCGCGCCTTATAAAGCCAATAATAGACCACCCTAGACAGAGCCCTACAGGGCCGATGTCATAGTATAAAGAGAAGGGAAGTAGGTTATCTTCATACAAACGCACCGCGCGCGGCTTATATGTGTGCGCCATAGTATTTACGCGTCGACGCACGCACACTGTAACAAAATCTCGACCCGTTTCTCAGTGCGCCAGTCGCGGCTAACACTGCACGAGGTTCGCGCGTGAAATTAAGAATGCGAATATATTACACATTAAAGCATCGATCACTAATAAAGAACATTAAAGTTTAATATTAATAACAAGGCATTTCGTAATAGTCGAAACCGACGAAAGTATTTTTCTGTTGCTAATTTGTAATTTTGTAATAAATGTATGATTTAATACCTAGTTATATTTACGTTTGTATTAATTAAAAATAAATATGGTCCTTTATGTGTAAAAATACTACATTATGCCAAAAAAAAAATGAGAAAATAATGTTAACATTAGCTCTTAGTCTATGTTACCGCCTGTGTCATCTAGCGACATAAAGAGTCACACCTCACAAACCGTGTACCCAGACAATACAAGTAAAAAATACAACTTCCCGACCCTTGTCGTTTTATAGGCACTGAATTAAAATTTTGCTAAATGTGAAAACCCTAAGACAGAAGGCAATTATAGCGCGGATTGGGCCGGATATAACCTACTGCCCTTCTCTTTATACTATGCCGATGTTCAGCCGGGTTGCAGCCAAAGCAGGAGAAGGAATGGAGGGGTTTTTAGTCAGCAAGAGTCTGAAACTCCCTCTCTCATCACCCTAAACGAGAGAATTCATTCGATTATTTTCCCACAATAACAAAGGTATCAAACATCACCATCACATGACATTAGCAACCGCAGAACACCGGATCGCCGCGTTAATTCCCGCATGGAGTACCTAATGCCGGTTTGCGCGTGATATGTTTGTGTAATTTTACAATTGCAAAAGACACACGAGCGAAGATCGCGATGGAGCAGATTATTGTCGCGTGTCTTTTTATTAAATTGTAGTATTCACTTGTTTAACTCTCCGATACTTAGGTACTCGTGGAAGAGAGAAATTAAACAATAGAAAAACTGAGTAGGTATTAAAATCTTAAGTTACACACAGATTACATGAAAATATTACTAAACTAGCTTCGGCCAGCGGCTTCGCCCGCGTGCTGTGTTGATAAAAAGCAGCCTATAGCAATAGAACAAAATCGAAGTACACATAAAATTTGTTATTAATCATCTAATTTTTATGGTTACATCTTCAAAGGGTAAATACACTATTACTTACTAAGTCTCCGCTATCCGTCCGTCCATAGTTAGAATGTACCATTCTAATGGATCTAACTAATATAAATATTTCATAAAACCTATAATATCGCGCGGTTTCACCCGCTGCTCGGCTCCATTTAATCGTAGCGTGATGTTTTATTGACCTTTATGTGACCTACAAATTGTTGTTCCGGGTCTGGATGTCATGTGCATGTGGAAATGAATGATTGTAACCGCACTCACGACACAGAGGAAAATCCTAGAGGCAAGGTTTTTTTTTAAAAAAAAGGGAGTAACTTCTCCCGTTTTCCCAACATTTTCCTTCACTGCTCTGCTCCTATTATTTTTAGCGTGATGAAAAGTATCCTATAACCCGCCCAGAAGTATAAAGAATAATTGTACCAAGATTTGTTGAATTCCGTCGAGTAGTTTTGTTTGTATATGGAACATACAGACAGACAGACAAAAATTTTACTGATTGCATTTTTGGCATCAGTATCGATCACTTATCACCCCCTGGTAGTTATTTTAAAAATGTATTTAATGTACAGAATTGACCCCTCTACAGATTTATTATAAGTATTGATAGTTACTACGTAATTACAGTAAATTTTATTTTCATCTCTTGTGTTTTCTTTGTAGATACTAAAGAATTAAACACAACATTTGAAAGCCTAAAAAAACTTGTGAAAAATCAGGAAAAAGTGTCACTTGTGCAAGTAGAAATGGAATGCATATTCCTCAATATATTTGAATTGATTGTTGATTGCTGGCAACGACATCTTAAACAAACAACCACATTCAAGGAAGAAATGAATGAATATATGAATATATTACTAAATGCAATCTCGATTAAACCATCAAAACCACCAAAAATGCCAGTTAAAATTAGCGAACAACAACAGAAAGATATAGGGAACGAGATTAAACGTATGAACGCCATTACACATTTTAGTAAACTTTGGGACGCATCTCAACATTTGAAAAATGAACCGGAGGTGAAACAACAAATTGAATTGACAAAATCAATCGTTTTCTCTATATTTGTATTTTCTGAAGATGATGCTATAGCGTCTCTAAAAAAGTTGCAAGACATAGTTAATGTGCGTCTTGAAATCACTAAGTATGAGCGAAAACTTATTGTACGAGCCATGTCCGATTTAAAAGCTGGCAGCTGGTACAAATGCCCCAACGGGCATATCTATTGCATTGGCGAATGTGGCGGAGCAAACCAAATCAGTAGGTGTCCGGAATGCAAGGAACGTATAGGGGGCTCAAATCATGAGCTACTTCCTGACAACAGCCATGCGCCTGAAATGGATGGATCATCATTTCCAGCTTGGTCGGAGCGATATAACTTGGCAAATTTTCGTTTTGAAGATTACTAAATATTTAGGAGGTAGGTACCTGTATACTTGTATGCAGTTCGCATCTACTGTCCTACGCCCGGTGCGCTCACTATGGTAGTTCAAGTAAGTTGACATCTCCCTTTGTCTTTTTGCAGTCCCTTTCCGCGGCGTTACTTAATTGCAGAACGCTTTGGACTGATGAGACCGTTTGGACGACTAAAGACGAGATTGACTCGTCCCAGCACTTCATTAGCGTGTGCCACATCATATTCTCTTCACCATTGATGCAGTGATGCACCAAACCAAGTAGTCAGCTACCAGACGCAAGAATCTATCTAAGCACTCTTACATAGAATGACAAGGAGCCATATCTCGAGCCAGACATCGAATACTGGCCGGAATACCTCCATGGTATCGATGCCAACAGTAGTAGTAGTATAGATTTATGTTTTAAATTCTAAATACTAGAATACTTTTTCAAAATAAAACACCTTTAGACAAAATCTGAAATTATTATTTATTTCAATGCTGGGCCAAGTGAAACTTTATCAGTGATATTTTCAGTACCAATAAATGATGTAATGTTGTTATCTAATAATAAGGGGCCGTAACCGCCGTTACATCTGCGTCTGGAGTGAACTATGACGAAGAACAGGTCGTCCACCTCTGGCTTGTCTGATTGGCATTAGCCGTCTAGAGTGGAGTCACGAGAGCAATCATCCTGTCCAGTTAAAATGAAAGTGTTCTTAAGTGGCGAGTGGGCTCGTGATGCATAACGCTTAGGCAGATGCTATTGTCCTGAGTAAAAAGCTGGTGGTAAGCAGTTTTTTCAACCTTCAGCCACTCGCGAGTTCGTTGTCCCTTATTTGCTATTTCTAGCAACCATTTCGGAAAGTCTAATCGTGAGTTGGCGAGTCTCAACCTGCCATTTTACGTGAATAAATTACAATGACAGGTGACATAGTTATACCCAGTTATACCAGTCCATAGCCAGTTCTTTAAAATGAGACCATACATCGTTGATTATTTTTAAGTCAAATTTTCAGATCCTTTTTAATCCTCAATAAAAAAGAAAAATTATTTATTTGTTTGATACCTCAGCATAATCTATTTTAGGGAACAAGAAGGCCTATACAAGCGTCGTCTTGGTGACGAGCGGAAATTTTTCACGCCACGTCAATTTTTCAACCGGTCACGTTTTTGCACACGTTAGTGGCTTGTGTATGCCAGTTTCAACTCCTGTCAATATGTAAGTCTAGATCTTTAACACCACTGCTGAAAGGAACGATCGCACCGTCGAAAAGGACGGCTGGCAGAGATGCACTGTCAACCCTTCCTAGCGATCGAGAGCTTCCGATGATGATAGCCTGGATGTGACTCAGGTTGGCTGGACAAATCTTCAAAATAGCTTGCATTTAACTAGGTCAATAGGTCACTTTATGTGACGGCTAAACACCCTTATTTCAGAATTTGTGACGCTACAGAATCTTAGATAATCGATCGAAAATGTGTCTAGCCATCTTGAAAAACCACTTTTCGCAGGTCTCTCAATCTCGGTAACGGAAGTGATTTTGACGGCTTTTTGCATATCAACGGGCGTCACATAAATTTGTGACGGGCACCGAGCTAAATGTGTTGTACACTAAAACACTGTACTTATCGTACAGTGTTTTAGTAGAAAAATGCAAAAATCTGTGTCCAACCATCTTGAATTTACGTATAAAACTTATGGCTGGCACTTCGAAATCTCAATAACAGGGGCGTTTTCGAATATGGTTCCTTTACTAATATTTGGTGACGCAATTTGTGACAGTAATAACGTTTGATTTATGACGTCACATGTAAGGGTTTAGGTACTAGAAATCAATAAAAAACTTAATGGCTAGCCAACCTGAGTTCAAGATGGCTGGACACATGTATCTCCACTGCCTGATGATCAACGACCTTCGAAATGTGTTCCAAATTTTGTGACGGGGACGATAATGATAACCTGAAATTGTGAGCCAATTGTGTGCGCTGGCACACAACGTTTGATTTATAACTGAAAGAATCATTCAACTGCTGAGTTGAATGATTCTTTCAGTGTTGTGAAGTCCATTTATCGAGGATTGGGGACTATTTGTAACACAAGGAGTAAAATCGAAAACCTATTTTTGCGTGCGATGCAAAAACTATTGATAATAGAACAAAATGGTGTACTACGGATTTGTAGATTCCATTAAAACCTACAAAAAAGTTTGCGAGAGCATACTTCTAGCTATCATGGTTTAAGCACAATAACCGATTTTGTGTTCAAAATAATTATTAAATCGTCTTAAGGAAAAAAACTGCGTTAAATATGTATCGTAATATTAATCTTTATCGCAATTAAGCATTATGTTATTAAGAGTATTTATGTAGAAGTAAAATACTTTTTGTTTCCTCTCAATCGGATATTTCGTTTTTAAAAGTTATCACGTGTGTAAAATGTTAAGAGTTGGTACCTTATTAATGAGTTATGGACCATAGAGTTTTTAACAACATAAAATCCTGTAATAATCTTTTTTCAAGTATGTTTGTTGATGATTGTTTCGAAATATGATTGTTGACTCCTTTTTTTTTTTTTTTTTTTTGGTGTCGGGTTGGAAAATCCTCATGGAGACCCACCTCATGGAGACCCACGCTCATGGTAGAAACAAATAAATCGACATCATTAAACGAAAAAAGCTAAAAAAGAATGAAATTTGCAAAAATACTTAGGTTCTTTTTGAGTCAGTTTGCTTTCGAATGCTCCTCACACAACCACTTTGCACGCGAGCGCCACGGAAACTAGTGGACAGGAACGGGTCGTAAATACCTCTTTTACTCATATTAGCGCGGTTTGCCAACGTCGCATTTTCGAGATTCGGCGGTGGTTAAATGTAGCTGCCTGGTTCACTGTGAGACACCCGACCCTATAGTGTTTTTGGGTTCTTCTGCAAGTACGCTAGTGAAAATGCAGTTATTGTTAAGAATGGAAAAACGCACCGTTGGTGGACGTTGGAAACGTCTTTGCTAAACGAGAGGCAATATGCTGAAAAGACAATGCGTTTGACAGCGCACCCACCGCGCGCTCGTCGCGAGAGGGCCGATGCTAGCAACGATGTGAACACATTTTGAGCTGATTGGCAATTTCAAACTTGTAAAGCCCAGGTAACCTCACGATTTTTACCTTCATTGTATGTTAGAGGTGAGATAGTCATAGAAATTAGATACATATATAACTGTGAAAAACTCACATTGGTACTTGCCAGGTTTCGAACGCACACCCTCATGCATAAGAAGCAGGTGCCTTAACCTCCGGGTCACCACGACATATATTTAATTAATTTGAGATACCAAGCTGTAAATTCCGAGGGGAAACTCCTTTTTTTTGCCAGGGGAATAGATATCATCAAATGACTTCTCCCGCCCAGGGGGAGGCGAGAGGAAGAAGTGTCAGACTCTTACTGACTAAAAACCCCTAGTTCCTTCTCCTGCTCTAGGCCGAGGCCGCAGTGCCTCATTTCGCTTACCCCGCAACCCTGGCTAAGCATTAGCCCTGTAGGGCCCCGTCTGTGGTGGTCTATAATTATTGGCTCTTTGAGGTGCGCGTGAAACGCTATGCACCGTTCGCTCGGATCTGGTACTGGTCGGGCGGCGAGCTACACTTACTCGCCGTTCGCTGGAAGGTCAAATCCTGCGTCAGGCGGACGGTGAGGACGCCATGGGAGGTCAAACTCCTAAGATGACTACGCGGCACGACGCGACGTACTGGCGGCCCACTACGGTATGAAGGGTCACTCGCTCGCACCTTGTGATTTCGGACATATTGTGGATCAATCTCGATAACATATAAGTACAAAATCAAACGGCAGCAGAGGATGGGTGTTTATACGTTAATCCTGGTGTTGCGGATGTCCATGGGCGGCGCCGATCGCTTACCATCAGGTGATCCGTCTGCTCGTTTGCCTCCTATTCCATAAAAAACCGCCACTGGCCACTGGGTTACGGCGACCGGCCGACTGACTGTACTAGTGACGTTCCGCTTAGTGAAAGTTCTATATTTTTGTCGTAAATTTTGTACTTAAATACATTTTATTGTGTACAAATACTTGTATCAGAATAACACTATGATTTTTTGTAATGTAATTACCTACACACTTTAATTGCAAGTAGTGACAGTAATTTCTATTTTTCTATGTTTATTCTTAGACAACCTATAAGTATTTTCAGTATTTTCGCCCCATCCAAAGTCAAAGTCAAAAGTCAAAAGCATTTATTTCAATTAGACCTTTATTTTACAGATATAAAGTGTCAGTCTGTCGGTCAGTCCTCTTAGTGAAGCTGTTCGCTCGTTCCAAAGTGTAGATTCGGATGGAGAAGAACGAGCAAGAAACTCCATGGTTACTCTTTTAAAATCTGTGTCACATAAAGATTCTTTGATAAATTATTTAGTTGATTTGATAATGTGAGAACAGTGTAACGCATGCATACAGAGATACATAAAAAGAAAATAACCTTAAGGACAATAGACAGTCCGGAGCTGACCAGTCTCAATTGACGGCGCCCGTTCACGAGCATGACACGTACACCAGCATCGCCCAACTCAACCATAATATAGGGAATCGGGCGATCCAGTGATCGTGCCACCGCCAATGTGACCTTTGAGTGAGCATGACAACTCCAAGTTGACATACCTAAAGACCGACATTCTGCTAGTCTAACTAATTGTAATAGGTTACGAGTCACAAACATTTACAAATTTATCAAGTTTAACAATAAAAATGGCATGGTTACAAATTTACAAAATCTAAGAAGTTCCGTTCAAGCAAACATCTACTGGAACATTATTTATATTCATGTAGGTATATTATCCTGTGGAGCAGGACCAGCCCGTCTCCAAGCATCCTCAATATAATCACTCAGTTTGTAATATGCTTTTTTACACAAAGTTTTCTTTACACATAATTTAAAATTTCTTTTATTTAATTGTTGTATTTCACCTGGGATTTTGTTATAACACTTAACGCTGAATCCCATGAACGACTTGTGTCCCTTTGCCAATCTAAATAATGGCTGACACAATCTATCTCTATGTCTAGTTTGATAATTATGTCTGTCTGATACCTTATCAAATAATTTTAAGTGTTTCCTAATATACATTACATTTTTATAAATAAACTGACCGGGCACAGTCATAATATTGATCTCTTTAAACTTTTCTCTAACAGATTCGCGAAGCTTTAGGTTGTAAATTGCTTTGATTGCACGCTTTTGCAAGACAAATATAGACTCAATGTCAGCAGCCTGTCCCCACAACAAGATGCCATACGACATAATGCTATGAAAGTAGCTGAAGTACACCAGTCTTGCAGTGTCCACATCAGTTAGCTGTCGGATCTTCCAGACAGCAAATGCAGCAGAACTCAACCGTCCTGCCAGAGATGTGATATGGGGCCCCCATTGTAGTTTTTCATCTATGGTTATACCCAGAAAAGTAGTC